TTAACTCGAAAACCATCAATTTACCCATGAATCACCGAAGCTTCCCATAGATAAACCATCATTTGATCGGGGCTGCTGATCAATAGATTAAATAGCCCAGGGTCTCGGGCTTCAGGTCGCGGTAGACCACGTTTCTTTCGTGGAGATGTTCCAGAGCCAGCAGCACCTCCCAGCGGAATGTCTGGGGCACGTCCAAACATGCATCCACCAAGACAAATATCTACATGTCACACCACCGGAAAACCAGACCTCGTTATTTACCCAGTCGGCAGAAAGAAAGACATGTCGGCCTCCGCAGTGTAGAGCTTGGAGAGCGCTTCTGGCAGATGTCCTTCGCGCTGCAACAGGGCAGACAAGTTGCCCCCAGGGCAGTACTGCAGCACCAGCACCAGACCTTTGCGGCCGCGCTTGAAGCCCGGACACATGCTGCTGCAAACCACCCGAAGATCTAAACTAAATGAAGGTCTGGGCACTACACCCGGGCCAGCTGATGCCAGCTGAAAATGATCACGTCTCAATGCCTGAAAAAGCCAGCAACTACTTTCCTTCACAGTTTTAATCTTCGGTTAATCAAACATGGAAATCAAATGAAATCAATCCTGCGCTAAAAAAAAGGGGTCACACCGTTGAGCTCCCTGGCAACTGGGAGTCTGAAAGGCGTGGTGCAGACGAACCTCGGCGGCCACGAAATCATGGGAAACCCGTGGATTTCGAGGCGCTTTTCCCACGAGAAAATCCCCCCAAAAAATCAGATCCAAAACCATCCGCGTTCCTATCCGAGCCACGATGAAGGGATGCCGGATGTAGGACAGCAAGTTCCGCTCAGTCAGGGCGTAACGCATGAGATTTCGACCGATGATCCTCGGCTCCACTTCTTTTAGGGGGATCTTGTGGGGATTTAACCAATAGAAATGGTTGGAGATGGTGATTCAATGGGATGTTTGAACCAACAACCCATTTTTGGCCCAGTCTTCAATTCTAGATGCAAAATGATACAAGATGATGCAGGTTGCTGGAGATAACATGACATCTCCACAGGTCAGATCCCTTCATACTTAGCCGCATAGCGACCGAGGGACCAACTGCACCATCAGGGAACCAGCTGCAGATATGTTGCATTACTACCACCATCATTACCTTTCACTCAGGGAACCATTATCTTCACTGCATTACCATCATTCAGTGTATGTTACTGTTACACTCTTGTCAGGCAGAATGTCGGGTCCGGAAGTAGGCCATCACTTCGCAGAAACACAGAAAAGGGTGGATAAATTGAAGAAATGCAGCGGAGCAAATCGCTTGACCCACAGATCATCGCACTGCTTCAACATCGCCAGAAAAGTCATCTCTCAAATTTGGGGTAACCCAATTCCATGCTTTGCCTTGCTAGAATGGACCAATAACTTGGATAATTGTCCATATTATATACATGTATATATACATATGTATATATATATATAATATTATATATATATATATTATCTATCTATCTATCTAATCTAATCTAATCTAATCTAATCTAATCTAATCTATCTATCTATCCCTGCGTACCTGGACCCGCTCGGTCCTTCGTCAGATCTGTCCCAGTGGCTTATTCTTGCGCAGCACCTTCATGGCGTAGATCTGTCCCGTCGTTTTCTGCGTCACCTGAAAGACCTCTCCGAAACTGCCACGGCCCAGCCTTGGTTTTCGACAAATTCGATGGACTCCAGGCAGCAACAGTTAACCATTGGCGAACCATCGGTTGGTTCAGTCTTTCTTTAAAAAAAAAAACGTGGGAATAGTTCGATCTTTTCAAGTACTCTGGTAATTTAACATGGAAAATCACCATTTTTAATGGGTAAATCCACTATTTCTATGGTCATTTTCAATAGCTATGTAACAAATTACCAGAGGGCAGTCATCAGCTTTGTGCCGTCAGGGACTTGGCGACTCGGAGATTTTTTTGTTATGGCTCAATTCACGACCCGTTTTAGCGACCTCTCGGCGCCAAGCGACACGGACAAGATTCGAAAAGACTTGGGACCAACGTTTCCGTCGGGCTCACCATCCTTCTTGTCCTATGGCACTATGGGCAGCAGTTGCGGAACAAGTCAAGATTGGCACAGCCTTGGTCAGAATGATATCGATGTAGCCCCTGATCTGAGAATCTGATTCGGAACAGTTCCCGGAGCTTGGTGGTTTTGTCCGGAACTTTATATAGATTCTTCTTAATAGCGTACTGTACATATACATATATCAATAAGATATGTTTGCATTATCTCTCCATGTTTCATTATACACCGGGGTAAATGATAATCATTCACCAACCTGAAATAATGTGTTCATTAGGATATATGTATATAATCAATAATTGTAGTGTCCTGGGATAGATCTGGATAAATGATAACTAAACAGCTCCAAATCCATTATCATGTATCAAGTAATAATTGATTGTCTACGATCTATCAATAGATCTATTAATCATCTATTATAATAACTTATCAATTATAAATCATATGATCATATATATATATATCGATATTATAATCATACCCATTATATCATAATTCATCATAGATCTGTTTTTTGTATCTATAAATCATACCCTCTGGTAAACTAACGTAACTATGGAACATCACCATGTTGAATGGGTAATTCCACTATTTCTATGGCAATTTTCAATAGCTGCAGCTATGTTAGTTTACCAGAGGGTATGATCATCATAATTTCTCCAGATCCATCATCTGCTCTCCAGCTCCCCACCTGAAGTTTGGTGAAGTGCCGCTGGATCGCCACCCGCTTCGTTTCAGGCCGCGGTAACGAAGCGGCCACGGCGCCACGCTTCGGCGGCGCGGGCGCGGCAAGGGAGTCGCCTTGGAGCCTTGGGGAATTGGTCAAATTTGCTGGTCATGGTTATATATATATCCGCCGACCCCTGCCGACAGCAGGGGGAGCGCGTCAGAGAAGAGATTACAAGCAACAAGTGTTGTGCAGTGCAAGTGAGGGGCAAGCGAGGGGGGACAGAAAGGGAAGCCAGGTGCAGAGTAAGAAGCCCAAAAAAGGAAGCGAGAAAGGAGGGGCAGTCTCAGCGAACGTAGCAAGCGAAAGAAGCACGAAACAAGAAGTTAGAAGCAAGAATGCAGAAGCAAGAGTAAACGAGCGACGGAAAGTAATGTTTGGCACTCTGGGCTACGGGCCGCGGGCCCAATCCGTCCTTCACTGCCATGGTGTTTTAGCCCTGCGAGGAGGTCCCTTGACCGGAGCTGTGCCGCACGAAAGCCAGCTGTCACACAATGCAGGCAAGTTGGCAGTTGGCAGTGCAGGAAGGCAGGGAAAAGCAAGGTTTGAAGCTAGTTTCTAGGCAGTTCAGAAAGCAACGTTAGGCACCGTGGGCTGCCGGCTGCGGGCTCAATCCGTCCTTCACTGCCATGGTGTTTTAGCCCTGCGACACGGTCCTTGGACTCCAGCTTGGACCGAAGCGGTGCAGAACGAAAGCCGGCTCCAGGAAGGACACGAGCAGGTGGCAGTTGAGTGCAGAAAAACGCAGGAAAGTCAAGGTTTGGAGCTTAGTTTCTAGTCGGTTCAGAAAGTGACGTTGGCCGTCTGGGATTACGGCCGCGGGCCTATAATCCGTCCTTCACTGCCATGGTTTTTAGCCCTGCGGACACGGTCCTTGACTCCGCTTTAGACGAAGCGGTGCAGAACGAAAGCCGGCTACAGGAGGACCGGGAAGGGTGGCAGTTGGCAGTGCAGGAAAAACGCAGGTAAGTTCAAGGTTGGACTATAGGAGCCGCAGAACGAAAGCCGGCTCCAGGAGGACACGAGCAGGGTGGCAGTTGGCAGTGCAGAAACGCAGGAAAAGTCAAGGTTTGGAGCTAGTTTCTAGTCGGTTCAGAAAGTGACGTTTGGCAGTCTGGGATACGGGCCGCGGGCCTAATCCGTCCTTCACTGCCATGGTGTTTTAGCCCTGCAACACGGTCCTTGGACTCCAGCTTAGACCGAAGCGGTGCAGAACGAAAGCCGGCCCCAGGAGGACACGAGCAGGGTGGCAGTTGGCAGTGCAGAAACGAAGGAAAAGCCAAGGTTGGAGCTAGTTCTAGTCGGTTCAGAAAGTGACGTTTGGAGTTGGGTACGGGCCGCGGGGGGCAAAATTCCGTCCTTCACTGCCATGGTTGTTTGAGCCTGCGACACGGTCCTGGGACTCCAGATTCGACCGAAGCGTGTGCAGAACGAAAGCCGGCTCCAGGAGGACACGAGCAGGGTGGCAGTTGGCAGGGCAGAAACGCAGGAAAAGTCAAGGTTTGGAGCTAGTTTCTAGTCGGTTCAGAAAGTGACGTTTGGCAGTCTGGGATACGGGCCGCGGGCCTAATCCGTCCTTCACTGCCATGGGGTTTTAGCCCTGCGACACGGTCCTTGGACTCCAGCTTGGACCGAAGCGGTGCAGAACGAAAGCCGGCTCCAGGAAAAAGACACGAGCAGGGTGGCAGTTTGGCAGTTGGCAGTGCAGAAACGCAGGAAAAGTCAAGGTTTGGAGCTAGTTTCTAGTCAGTTCAGAAAGTGACGTTTGGCAGTCTGGGATACGGGCCGCGGGCCCAATCCGTCCTTCACTGCCATGGTGTTTTAGCCCTGCGAGTAGGTCCCTTGACCGGAGCTGTGCCGCACGAAAGCCAGCTGTCACACAATGCAGGCAAGTTGGCAGTTGGCAGTGCAGGAACGCAGGGAAAAGCTAGGTTTGAGCTGCAAGACGACGCAGGCAAATTGGCAGTTGGCAGTGCAGGAAGGCAGGGATAAGCAACGTTTGAAGCTAGTTTCTAGGCAGTTCAGAAAGCAACGTTAGGCACCGTGGGCTGCCGGCTGCGGGCCCAATCCGTCCTTCACTGCCATGGTGTTTTAGCCCTGCGACACGGTCCTTGGACTCCAGCTTGGACCGAAGCGGTGTAGAACGAAAGCCGGCTCCAGGAGGACACGAGCAGGGTGGCAGTTGGCAGTGCAGAAACGCAGGAAAAGTCAAGGTTTGGAGCTAGTTTCTAGTCGGTTCAGAAAGTAATGTTTGGCACTCTGGGCTACGGGCCGCGGGCCCAATCCGTCCTTCACTGCCATGGTGTTTTAGCCCTGCGAGGAGGTCCCTTGACCGGAGCTGTGCCGCACGAAAGCCAGCTGTCACACAACTCAGGCAAGTTGGCAGTTGGCAGTGCAGGAACGCAGGGAAAAGCTAGGTTTGAGCTGCAAGACGACGCAGGCAAATTGGCAGTTGGCAGTGCAGGAAGGCAGGGAAAAGCAAGGTTTCAAGCTAGTTTCTAGGCAGTTCAGAAAGCAACGTTAGACACCGTGGGCTGCCGGCTGCGGGCCCAATCCGTCCTTCACTGCCATGGTGTTTTAGCCCTGCGACACGGTCCTTGGACTCCAGCTTGGACCGAAGCGGTGCAGAACGAAAGCCGGCTCCAGGAGGACACGAGCAGGTTGGCAGTTGGCAGTGCAGAAACGCAGGAAAAGTCAAGGTTTGGAGCTAGTTTCTAGTCGGTTCAGAAAGTGACGTTTGGCAGTCTGGGATACGGGCCGCGGGCCTAATCCGTCCTTCACTGCCATGGTGTTTTAGCCCTGCGACACGGTCCTTGGCCTCCAGCTTAGACCGAAGCGGTGCAGAACGAAAGCCGGCTCCAGGAGGACACGAGCAGGGTGGCAGTTGGCAGTGCAGAAACGCAGGTAAAGTCAAGGTTTGGACTCTGGAGCCGCAGAACAAAAGCCGGCTCCAGGAGGACACGATCAGGGTGGCAGTTGGCAGTGCAGAAACGCAGGAAAAGTCAAGGCTTGGAGCTAGTTTCTAGTCGGTTCAGAAAGTGACGTTTGGAGAACGAAAGCCGGCTCCAGGAGGACACGAGCAGGGTGGCAGTTGGCAGTGCAGAAACGCAGGAAAAGTCAAGGTTTGCAGCTAGTTTCTAGTCAGTTCAGAAAGTGACGTTTGGCAGTCTGGGATACGGGCCGCGGGCCCAATCCGTCCTTCACTGCCATGGTGTTTTAGCCCTGCGAGGAGGTCCCTTGACCGGAGCTGTGCCGCACGAAAGCCAGCTGTCACACAATGCAGGCAAGGTGGCAGTTGGCAGTGCAGGAACGCAGGGAAAAGCTAGGTTTGAGCTGCAAGACGACGCAGGCAAATTGGCAGTTGGCAGTGCAGGAAGGCAGGGAAAAGCAAGGTTTGAAGCTAGTTTCTAGGCAGTTCAGAAAGCAACGTTAGGCACCGTGGGCTGCCGGCTGCGGGCCCAATCCGTCCTTCACTGCCATGGTGTTTTAGCCCTGCGACACGGTCCTTGGACTCCAGCTTGGACCGAAGCGGTGCAGACGAGCAGGGTGGCAGTTGGCAGTGCAGAAACACGGGAAAAGTCAAGGTTTGGAGCTAGTTTCTAGTCGGTTCAGAAAGTGACGTTTGGCAGTCTGGGATACGGGCCGCGGGCCCAATCCGTCCTTCACTGCCATGGTGTTTTAGCCCTGCGAGGAGGTCCCTTGACCGGAGCTGTGCCGCACGAAAGCCAGCTGTCACACAATGCAGGCAAGTTGGCAGTTGGCAGTGCAGGAACGCAGGGAAAAGCTAGGTTTGAGCTGCAAGACGACGCAGGCAAATTAACAGTTGGCAGTGCAGGAAGGCAGGGAAAAGCAAGGTTTGAAGCTAGTTTCTAGGCAGTTCAGAAAGACGTTTGGCAGTCTGGGATACGGGCCGCGGGCCTAATCCGTCCTTCACGGTGTTTTAGCCCTGCGACACGGTCCTTGGACTCCAGCTTAGACCGAAGCGGTGCAGAACGAAAGCCGGCTCCAGGAGGACACGAGCAGGGTGGCAGTTGGCAGTGCAGAAACGCAGGGAAAGTCAAGGTTTGGACTCTGGAGCCGCAGAACAAAAGCCGGCTCCAGGAGGACACGAGCAGGGTGGCAGTTGGCAGTGCAGAAACGCAGGAAAAGTCAAGGTTTGGACTCTGGAGCCGACAGAACAAAAAGCCGGCTCTCCAGGAGACACGAGCAGGGTGCAGTTGGCCAGTGCAGAAAACGCAGGAAAAGCCAAGGTTTGGAGCTAGTTTCTAGTCGGTTCAGAAAGTGACGTTTGGCAGTCTGGGATACGGGCCGCGGGCCCAATCCGTCCTTCACTGCCATGGTGTTTTAGCCCTGCGACACGGTCCTTGGACTCCAGCTTGGACCGAAGCGGTGCAGAACGAAAGCCGGCTCCAGGAGGACACGAGCAGGGTGGCAGTTGGCAGTGCAGAAACGCAGGAAAAGTCAAGGTTTGGAGCTAGTTTCTAGTCGGTTCAGAAAGTGACGTTTGGCAGTCTGGGATACGGGCCGCGGGCCCAATCCGTCCTTCACTGCCATGGTGTTTTAGCCCTGCGACACGGTCCTTGGACTCCAGCTTGGACCGAAGCGGTGCAGAACGAAGGCCGGCTCCAGGAGGACACGAGCAGGGTGGCAGTTGGCAGTGCAGAAACGCAGGAAAAGTCAAGGTTTGGAGCTAGTTTCTAGTCGGTTCAGAAAGTGACGTTTGGCAGTCTGGGGCGGGCCCAATCCGTCCTTCACTGCCATGGTGTTTTAGCCCTGCGACACGGTCCTTGGACTCCAGCTTGGACCGAAGCGGTGCAGAACGAAAGCCGGCTCCAGGAGGACACGAGCAGGGTGGCAGTTGGCAGTGCAGAAACGCAGGAAAAGTCAAGGTTTGGAGCTAGTTTCTAGTCGGTTCAGAAAGTGACGTTTGGCAGTCTGGGATACGGGCCTCGGGCCCAATCCGTCCTTCACTGCCATGGTGTTTTAGCCCTGCGACACGGTCCTTGGACTCCAGCTTAGACCGAAGCGGTGCAGAACGAAAGCCGGCTCCAGGAGGACACGAGCAGGGTGGCAGTTGGCAGTGCAGAAACGCAGGAAAAGTCAAGGTTTGGAGCTAGTTTCTAGTCAGTTCAGAAAGTGACGTTTGGCAGTCTGGGATACGGGCCGCGGGCCTAATCCGTCCTTCACTGCCATGGTGTTTTAGCCCTGCGACACGGTCCTTGGACTCCAGCTTAGACCGAAACGGTGCAGAACGAAAGCCGGCTCCAGGAGGACACGAGCAGGGTGGCAGTTGGTAGTGCAGAAACGCAGGAAAAGTCAAGGTTTGGAGCTATAGTTTCTAGTCGGTTCAGAAAGTGACGTTTGGCAGTCTGGGATACGGGCCGCGGGCCCAATCCGTCCTTCACTGCCATGGTGTTTTAGCCCTGCGACACGGTCCTTGGACTCCAGCTTGGACCGAAGCGGTGCAGAACGAAAGCCGGCTCCAGGAGGACACGAGCAGGGTGGCAGTTGGCAGTGCAGAAACGCAGGAAAAGTCAAGGTTTGGAGCTATAGTTTCTAGTCGGTTCAGAAAGTGACGTTTGGCAGTCTGGGATACGGGCCGCGGGCCCAATCCGTCCTTCACTGCCATGGTGTTTTAGCCCTGCGACACGGTCCTTGGACTCCAGCTTGGACCGAAGCGGTGCAGAACGAAAGCCGGCTCCAGGAGGACACGAGCAGGGTGGCAGTTGGCAGTGCAGAAACGCAGGAAAAGGCAAGGTTTGGAGCTAGTTTCTAGTCGGTTCAGAAAGTGACGTTTGGCAGTCTGGGATACGGGCCGCGGGCCCAATCCGTCCTTCACTGCCATGGTGTTTTAGCCCTGCGACACGGTCCTTGGACTCCAGCTTGGACCGAAGCGGTGCAGAACGAAAGCCGGCTCCAGGAGGACACGAGCAGGGTGGCAGTTGGCAGTGCAGAAACGCAGGAAAAGTCAAGGTTTGGAGCTAGTTTCTAGTCGGTTCAGAAAGTGACGTTTGGCAGTCTGGGATACGGGCCGCGGGCCCAATCCGTCCTTCACTGCCATGGGCGTGACTGGGTTCGGATATGGACCAGGCATGGAACGGGTCTGGATCGGGGTATGGATCAGGACACCATGCTTTTTTAGTTCTACACGTGCCAGGCAAAGTAGAAACAGAAGGACTTGTAGTCATAGCACCACTAGAAGTACAATAAGCACCTAGTGGAAGTAGAACCGGTCTTACAAGCCTCCAAGGTGCACTTGCAATATTGCGAGTAGCTAGTCAACTAGTTACATTTGTCCAACTACCGAAGCACACGGAGAACGTGAGCCAGCACCAGCAGCGAGAGCACGACCAGCAGGAGCAGTAGCAGCAGCTCCTGGGAGGATACTCACTAGTAGTGGCGGCGGCAGCAGCAGCGGAGGCAGTGGAGGCAGCAGTAGAAGCAACGGTAGTAGCGATGGGAGTAGCAGTACGACGACCAGAAGCAGTATATATTAGGATAAAAAGCATCGTTAAGGCCAGCATCAGTCTTTCTTCAACGAGAAAGGGGTATGGATCTGGGGTATGGATCAAGGGTATGGATCAAAGTATGGATCGGGGGGTATGGATCGTGTGTAGCTTTGGCGCCTTGATCCATACCTTGTATTTTGATTCGTACCCATATAGTTTTCTTGTAGGTTCGGGAAGTGACGTATGTGTCAACTCCCCCTCTCTCCCAGGGGTCGGCGGCAGGGGGCGTAGCCCCTTATATATATATATATATGGTTAATTATGACCAAACATATTAGATACATGTATATATGGTTAATATTAACTTATATATATGGTTAATTATTACCACCATATTAACCATATTAACCATCATTCATCATAATTAACCATATTAACCATCATGGTTATATATATATATACGTATATACCTATATAATATGGTTAATTATGATGAATGATGGTGAATCACATCATGAAATTTCATGAAAATTCTCAAAAAAAAATACACAATCTGAACTTGGATGTTGTCAAATGTTCCCAAAAACCCACTAGGACAAGGCCTGGCTCAAGTTCATCTTCGGCGACAAGGCTTGACATTCCCGTGTCAATGTTGTTCGGCTTTGTAATTTTACCAGAGGATGGTTTGGATCACGTTGATCCCACATTAGTAAAATTGTCCTTCTCCACGTCTTTGGGAAACTCAATTCCTAGCTCCTTGCCTGGCTTCCCATTATGCCATTGTTTGAATCGAATTGTACATCCAACCATAGATGGGGGTATGATATACAGTATTCAATAGTATTGCCAGTGTATCAACGATATTCCCCTTGCTGATGTTTGATATTCCCAATCATGGATCACTATTGGGTATGATTACTATGGGCTATTCCCAACGATATATCATGATGATATATGGGCCAAACCATTTTAGGAAAGCCCCAGATTAGGGAAATTCTCTCGTCACGTCACTGGTCACGACTCCCGGTTTTTGCTGCGCCCAGCCACAGTCGCTGCACCGCATCGTGCCGCGAGTTGCGTCGCAGGACCCCAGCCTCGTTCCAAAGGCTTCGGCCGCCGTAGCCATCGATGGCTTCACAGGACCTCGGGGCGAAACGGGCGAAACGGGCTCCACGGTGACTTTTGGAGAAAGAGGACCTGGGGATTGGATGGAAATATATGGGGAAATATGGGGAAAATCTGGGGAAATATGGTGTTAGATGGTTCAAGATGGTGCTAGATGGCGCTGGTTTTAGATGGCTGTGATGTGATTGTCCCAACCATCACAGCTGTGGAAGACACTGCTGCCGATACGTAACGGTGACCGCAGCATAGGATAGCCCCACTCAAACGAACCATGAGTTGGTCCCAACCTTGCCAGAGTCTTCAATGAGTTCTAGTCTCAACATATGTTTGCTGCTTGCTTAAATGACAATTTTGCAGGTTACATCTCCCGGCTTTGGTTCTAAAATTCAAGTTGTTGTTACTTGCTCACCGTTGTCAGGAAAATCCGCATGTTGATGCTTAAAGCCCCAGCTTGGTTGGATAAATGGTCGATCGCAGCTTCGTATCTCGTGAAAATCTCAAGTCTTATTGGTCAATTCCTGAATTTCACTGGTTTATCTGGTTTTGTCCCCATTTAAATCATTTGGTCATTCGAATTCCCGACTGTTGACTGTCCCAACTTCCGAGTTGCTGATTGCTGGAGGACGAGGATGCCAAGGACGTGATGGACCCCAGGGATTCGTGCTGAAAGGCCATGGCCGTGGCCGCATCCAGAGATACCTCGCGAGGTCGCTGCCCGTAGTTGTTTCCTGGCAGGAGACGGGGATGTCCTAAGATTCAATGGATTGGTTTAAGGGAAAATCTACAGGAAACCCATGGGTTTTTACCATCAAATATAGGGGTTTCCTGTAAATTTTCCCATCATCCAATTCTATGAAAGATCTGGTTTATGATTGGTTAAGATTTTGCCGACAAACCATTGATAAACCCAGATCTTATGTCCTTACTAAGGCCTTGTCTATGTTTTTGTTGCTGCCGATGAGAAGCATCCCTAGAATTTCATGATAGAATTAAACAAAGTCCCTCCAGTTGCCATGGGGGTATACCCTCTGGTGAACTAACAGTTTGCTATTGAAAATGGCCATAGAAATAGTGGATTTTCCCATTAAAAATGGTGATTTTCCATTGCTATGTTAGTTCACCAGAGGGTAATTATAATACCCATACTATACTCCATTTTCAGACACCCTCGCTTTTTTATTGCCAATGATTCGATACTGATATGATCCATTGGAAATATGATCCTAAGCTCGCAGGGATACTGATGTGAAAATTCGATCCCTGCGAGGGAAGGCCCTGATAGCCCTGACAATGGGGATATGTTTGCCAATGGACTCTCTTGCTGGGAAAAACAATTGGGAAACCTGCAGTGTTTGAGCCCCAAACATGAAGGGTTCCTACAACTGTTCGCTTCAACCAATTCGGGACCCGCAACGATCCAAGGATTTGGGTCAAACTTCTTCTTTTTTTGTTGAAATCTAGTTTTGTTTTTAATAACAAGATATGACAGTGTGTCAAAACCTTGCACCACTGGTGAACATCAAAATAGCTGGTAAATGGATGTTCATCCCACTAAAAATGGTATCTATAGGTATTGACCCATACCCATATGACAATAAATCAGGAAGTTTGAAGCCATTCCCACCATCCATTGAGGTCGTTTTTTCTTCATCCAAAGGGAATGCTTGGCCACTGATCCCACCATGGTTGGGAGGTTTCGGGTGCCGGAGCTTCTGATGTGGTACAAGTCCGGAGCATTGCCTCAAGCGGCATGGTATGGAGTGGAACGCATCCAAGGACCAAGAACCGGCAGAAGGTGCACAAATGGGTAGACGCATGTAATACTATATATATACACACACATGGATGTCATTGTTTCTAAACGTAATGTATTGAAGTTGTAAGAATGTTTAACTGGAGGAGGTTCATCCCCAAAGCAACAAGCATCGCAGCCACAAATGATTCATGCTGAGGGATTCAATGAAGAAAACGCAATCCCTTGGGAGCCTTCGTCAACCTATTCTGGCCAACAGGTTTTGAAATGTTGTCAGATTGCAGAGATTCCACAGGGAAATCCCTTTTAACTGACCACGTGTCATTCGGCGAAGTGAAAAAATGCCATCTTCGAAAAAAAAACGCAGGACATGCAGGACTCAAAGCTGGTCAGATTCGGAAATTGAGTTCACACATATCTGTTGCCATTGGGTTTTTCGGCCATTGGATCCAGATTCTGCTCGTCGGCCAATGTTTTGGTTGCCAGTAAGCCATCAAACCATCAAATTTGGATTCATGTCACAGAATAAAACTCAAGGGTTCTTCCAGAGGTTTCAATTCTTATTACCCCAACAAAAAAGAGGGGGTGCCCTCTGGTTTTTGGAGAGTGTCCACCCAGCAACCAACCCGGAAAAAAAATACTATCAAGCAAAAGAAAAACATGCAACAAGACGCAATGCTGTATACATCATGATACATCTACAAAAATCAATCATCAAATCATCATCAAATCAGATGGTGTTCTTCTCCCCCCATCCCCCCACGCCGCGGTGCCCAGCAGATGCGTCACCACCTGCGGCCTGCCGTGCATGGCGGCCAGGTGTAAGGCCGTTTCGCCCTGGTCCGCCTGGAGAACCAGGTCGCAGCCGTTCCTCGGAAAAGTTCCACGGGGAACAAAGATGGTGGTGAAATGGGGGACAAACTTCCCAAGAACATGAGAATATGGAGGTTAGATGAATTTAGAAGTTTAAAAAAAAAAACAGGACTTGGCATCGAAAACATGAAGCTTTACAGAGATAAGAACGTATATATACATATATATATATATAACCAACGAAAACAAGCCGGTATAAAATCAACCAGGATGTGTGTATATCATGGACGACTTTTTTGGAATAATATATATATACATATAACCAACAATATGATTTCAGTTTATCAAAAAAACTGCAACAGTTTTTGTAGTGGGGCAGTGACAGTTGTTTGCGGGACCAGATCACAGTTTGGAATTACAACTAATAACTCTCAATTTCTGGCTGGAAACAGTTTGTCAGCCATTTTCGAAGGTAACTTTGAGACTAACATGTCAGCCCTAGATCCATGAACCAAACCCCAACAGCTTTCACCGGGTTCGCACTGCTGTCACTTTCCAAAATCCCCAGCGCCAAGATCTGAAAGCCTTGATCTTCCAACCGAGGTAAATCTCCCATCTCGGTGTCATAGCGAAAAATCCCGCGGTGAAAAAAAAAACACCCTTCGTTTGCTGCAAGAACAAGTACAAAAAGTACACCAAGTTGATTTAAAATGTATGTTTTTCACAAAAACACCAATTTTCTTGGCTTGTTTAAATATGTTCACTGCAACCCTGCCGTTGCTCCGCGTCTGACTTCAGGTGGCTATGAAGATAAAGTTGATGTTACTACTCCAATCAACATATTGTTCAAAAGGGGTGGCAAATTTTGATCCCTCATGAAGATAGAGATGATGTTATTACCCCAATCAACATATTGCTCATAGGGGGTGGCGAATATTGATCCCTTATGAAGATAAAGATGTGTTATTACCTCAGTCACCATATTGTTCATAGGGGGTGGCGAATTTCGATCCCTCATGAAGATAAAGTTGGTGTTATTACCCCGGTCAAGATATTGTTCATATGGGGTGGCGAATTTCGATCCCTCATGAAGATAAAGTTGATGTTATTACCCCGGTCAAGGTATTGTTCATAGGGGGTGGCGAATTTTGATCCCTCATGAAGATAAAGTTGATGTTATTACTCCAATCAACATATTGTTCATATATGGGGTGGCGAATGTTGATTCCTCATGAAGATAAAGTTGATGTTATTATATACCCCGGTCAACATATTGTTCATAGAGGGTGGCGAATTTGGATCCCTCATGGAGATATATTTGATGCTATTACCCCAATCAACATATTGTTCATAGGGGGTGGCGAATTTCGATCCCTCATGAAGATAAAGTTGATGTTATTACCCCGGTCAACATATTGTTCATAGGGGGTGGCGAATTTTGATCCCTCATAGAGATATATTTGATGCTATTACCCCAATCAACATATTGTTCATAGGGGGTGGCGAATTTGGATATGAAGATAAAGTTGATGTTATTACCCCGGTCAAGATATTGTTCATAGGGGGTGGCGAATTTTTATCCCTCATGAAGATAAAGTTGATGTTATTACTCCAATCAACATATTGTTCATAGGGGGTTGCGAATTTTGATCCCTCATGAAGATAAAGTTGATGTTATTACCCCGGTCAACATATTGTTCATAGGGGGTGGCGAATTTTGATCCCTCATAGAGATATATTTGATGCTATTACCCCAATCAACATATTGTTCATAGGGGGTGGCGAATTTCGATCCCTCATGAAAATCAAGATGATGATTATGATGATGATGATGATGATGATGATGACGATTGTAAGTGTGGAGCAACGTCCGGGTTGGGGCGGACATGTTTAAATCCCCAAATATCCCCAATGTTTGTCCATTTCTTGGTGAATTTCCTCCGAGTTTTGCCCCAATTCGACCAGCTTCTGGACCAGCAAGTCAACCAGTTCCATGTGGCCCTGACGGCACGCCTCGGCCAAACAGTAGCTTGTTTGCCCTGAGAAAAATTGGAAGTGAAGCAGGACAATATCTATGATATATATATATACATATATACATATATATAATATACATATATACATATATATATATATGTATGTATTATTCTATATATGTCATATCACATGTTATTGTATGTATATATATATATCCTCCTGTGAACTACTAGCACAGATATGGAAGACCCATCAATTGTAGATCTTTTTACTCGTGAAACCCACGGATTTTGATATCTATCTGAAATAAAAAAAGGACTTATATTTGAGAAACAAAACGTGAGGTGGCAGTTCAATTTATGACCATTTTGCGTTCTTAAAGTACATATCAATCCATATCGAGCGTTCAGTGTCCTTACAATAAGAGATACAGTGAATATATGTGAATATGTCATTTTGAATGGGCTGAGGCTGAGGGCAAAATTGTCCCTTTAAACGATTGCATTCCTTACTTATTTCTCTTTCAAAAATTGTGTTCTTCTCTGACTATAGTGAAGGGTCAAAACATCCCCAACAGTTCGCATGCATTCTATTCAAAATCGAGAGTCCCGGACCATTGAAACCATGTTTTCCTCACTTATCAAATATCAACTAACTCCTCAACTGAACCATGTTAAGTTAACTTAATATAACTTGATAAATATTTGATAATCAATGATATTGTTTATCAAAATCATGTAATATCAAAAATAAACATTGATTATGATATTGATAACTATCTAATTTACCATGTAATTTGATAAATAACTATTTTGATATTGATATGTTTCTAATCACAATGATATTGACTATGATTCTATGATATTGATATTGATATTGATAATCACAAAATGATATTGGTAAGTATTATGATATTGATAACCATTTTAAGTACCATGATATTATGATATTATGATATTGGTAAGTACTATGATAATCTATATCATAATCTCATATCATTATGGTAATAGTTACCATAGTACTTACCATAATTTTGATATCTAATATCATTGATAAATGAGCGGCGTCGTAAACCGGGTAGCGATCTGGTTCTACTGTAGAAAAGCTTTCGCGACGGCTTTCGCGGTGCTTTCGCGCGCACAGTTTTGGCTTTCGCGGCGGGATTTTTTTCGCAATATCTTTCGCGGCGGCTTTCGCGGAAAATATTCGTCGTAAATGATGTTTTACACTAGTCATCTGCTTTCGCGGCCGCTTTCGCGGCGTGACCTTGGCGCACTCCGTTCGCGGAGCTTTCGCACGGCTTTCGCGCGTGGAGGTTTTGCTTTCGCGGAAGGTTCCCTACATGAACCCGAATACTAAATCCCTTTATGGATGTTTTTGATGCTGCTCAAATCATTTTGATAATCACCATTTATAGTGGATTTTCCCATTAAAAAAGGTGATTTTCCATAGCTATGTTAAATTACCAGAGGGTAAACCATTGGATTTTTTGGGGTCCCCAAAATCTCTGCCCAAAAAGGTCCCTCTATGGTCCCATGATTCGCCCAGCCGCCAGGTGCAAGGCAGTGAAGCCAGCGTCGGTTTGAGCGTCGATGTGGGCCCCCAAGGACAGAAGGGCCTCCGGCGAAAGAAGGCCTTGGTTTAGATCTTAAAAGCAGGTCCACCAATATACATGTGATATATATATATATGTTATATATATGTTATTTATATATATATATATGTTATGTATATATACCCTCAGGACGCTTGGGTCGCTGTCGCTTTAGATGCATCCATTATGTTTTCGGGGGGGTGGGGGGGTTGGGTGGGGGGGTGTGATAACGTCCTGTCGCGCGCTTTTTTTTTGGCTGCAAATATGACATTATCTCTATGTTTTCAGGGTAGAAATGCTACGTTATCGTTATTTTTGCAGGATGGAAATGCTACGTTATCGTTATGTTTGCAGGGTGGAAATGCTACGTTATCGCTATGTTTGCAGGGTGGAAATGCTACGTTATCGTTATGGTTAGCAGGATGGACATGTTACGTTATCGTAATTTTTGCAGGGTGGAAATGCTACGTTATCGCTATGTTTGCAGGGTGGAAATGCTACGTTATCGTTATGTTTGCAGGGTGGAAATGCTACGTTATCGCTATGTTTGCAGGGTGGAAATGCTACGTTATCGCTATGTTTGCAGGGTGGAAATGCTACGTTATCGTTATGTTTGCAGGGTGGAAATGCTACGTTATCGTTATGTTTGCAGGGTGGAAATGCTACGTTATCGCTATGTTTGCAGGGTGGAAATGCTACGTTATCGTTATGTTTGCAGGGTGGAAATGCTACGTTATCGTTATGTTTGCAGGGTGGAAATGCTACGTTATCGTTATGTTTGCAGGGTGGAAATGCTACGTTATCGCTATGTTTGCAGGGCAGGGTGGAAATGCTACGTTATCGTTATGATTGCAGGGTGGAAATGCTACGTTATCGTTATGTTTGCAGGGTGGAAATGCTACGTTATCGTTATGTGCTGACCTGAAGAAATTTTGCTTTCCAGCCGACGGCGAACCAAGCGTCCTGATCGTATATATATATATATGTTATATATATGTTTTATATATATATATATACAACATATATATAAGGAAACTTCAGCCATTTTTGGTGCCAATTCTTGGGTCACCCCCCGCATCCGGAGCAGCCTCCGCAGCCTCAACTTGACCAGCGGAGGCGGCCACGTGCCTCAATCAGAATGGGATGACGTTGCTTACCCTCTGGTAATTTGTTACATAGCTATTGAAAATGACCATTTATAGTGGATTTTCCCATTGAAAATGGTGATTTTCCATAGCTATGTTAAATTACCAGAGGGTACTTTTTGTTGATAATGGGATGATGGATAATATTACTATACCATCATTAATGGGATTATTACTATACCATCATTAATGGCATTATTACATTTTTGCTTGATAATATGTAATAATCGAATCATGCCATTGTATCCATGATGATTGAAATATTGATCATCATTCATGGGATGATTCAAGCAATTATTTCAATCATCGGCAAATGTTTCGTGAAATGGACAGGGGTGGAAACATGGAGATACAACGGAAATTCTTTAATGGTGGATTTTCTGGGGATAGTCTCCTGGCCACCAAGTTGTGGAGACTCTGAAATTGGGGGTGAATCTTCCCAAATTGTGGTTGGGCTGGGCTCTCCATGTTTTTTATTGGGTTTACATGGAGAGCCAACAGCTCCACACCGCTCCCTCCAGCCCTCAATAATCACGATTGGATACGATTGATCATCATAATCAATATAATGATCATATATAATATAATATATCATTAATGGATTATTGACGATTGATCATCAATATAATTATTGCGATGATCATCACTATCACCAAGTCCTAGGATTCCTAGGTCCTGGCCCCGAACTTTCACCAAGTTGCAGAGCAGTTCGACCGTACAAGCCCCTCACTTCCTGGTGGCAGAAAAAGCTGACGGAAAGCACCAATTGTTTTGCCACCCGAGGTATATGAAACATGACAAAATGTGCAACGCAGCTCCAGACAAAATCACAAAAAATTGATAAAAACTGCAGGACACCTTGAGAATTCCACTCAATTTCTCACCAAAATTCATCAAAAGTCCAGCCGACAGCTAGATTTCCAGTCAGGTTCAACCAAACATCTACAAAAAAATGCACCAGCGAAAGGTTGATAAAAAGGCCCAGTGTCTGTGGTCAGGGGATACACCTCCTGGCCCTCATCGCTTTCATTCCGCAGCAGCAGGGAACGAACCACCGCAGCTTTACCCGTCAGAGCCGCTTCGAAGAGCTGTTCCTTGGTCCGAGCATTCGGAAGTTATGGGTTGGGAGCCCTCCCCTTTACTCGGAACAGTAAACCTTAAGATGGAGAAGCTACCTTTTGTGACTTCATCAATTCATGAAGTGCGGAATATATCCAAACGCCACTCAGTTAATACATGTGCCAATGCCATACATTGGTTATGCAAAGAGCATGTAGTAAGGGCCGGCACGAGGCCATGGACTGGGGCCCAAAATATCTCAGCAGCTCTTTATTCGTCGAATTTATAGATGGGTGTGTCTGATGAGAAATACCTATATAAATGGCCATTTCTTGCGAAAAAAATATGATACCCTCTGGTAATTTAACATAGCTATTGAAAATGACCATTTATAGTGGATTTTCCCATTAAAAATTGTGATTTTCCATAGCTATGTTAGTTTACCAGAGAGTAAACCATTGGATTTGTTGGGGTCCCTTCTTTTTGAACCAACTCATATTTTGTGCTGGGCCAGCCACCAAGCCAGCCCGCAAAAAAAGGTCCTGGCCACTTGGTCCGATGGTGAAAAATTGTGATTGGAGCCAGCTGTTGCAGATGTCACCCAGAATATTATGAACATGTAAAATGTCATGGGAATATCATTCGGATCCAATTAATCATGATGCATCATCAAACTATATATATAGATTCCAACTATAATCACATTCACATGCGAATTAGAGAATTTAACCCAGTTATGTCATGTTATATATATGTATATATGTATAGAACCAACAACAATAAGATACTTGGGATGTTTTCCTCAAATCCTGGCTCTAGTCTGACGAGGAACAGTGCTTCGACGATAGTCTTGCCATAACCTCAGCTGACCGCTGAGCGCTGGAAAATTTCTGCCGGGGTGCCCCTCCTCAAATTTGTGCCGCAAAATGATCAGTAAAACATGTGGTGTTCCAGTCAGAATGTCAATATTGCCTGCAAAAACCAGGGGAATCACCAAATCACCAAAAGGGGGTATCCAACCAAAATCTACGAGGATATTCAAAATTGGAGAGAATGGACACAAACATCGTGGAAAAATCACTGGAATTCACCAGGAGTGGTGAATTTGGCGGTGGGTCACTGTGATGATGAACCCCAAAACTGAGGATTTTTACCAAACAAAACGTGGAGCGCCATGATGAGATTTACTGTGAATCCGAAAAAGGCAGCCGGAAATTGTTTGATATCTTCTGGGAATACGTGGCCTTTGCTCACTGGTGGATTGCCATTGCGCTGAATTTTGTGGCAAATTGTGCATGTGTGTGTCAACATTGGAATCAGGCTCACGTCTTCGAAACCCTTTTTCTTTGCACAACTACCAAAACAGTAGGCAAGTGCAAGTTGGATTGTTGCTTCTCACTTCTTTACTGGGAAATCTACAGTAAACAATAGATCTAATGACCACCCAAACATCTGGTTTTCTGCACATTCTCGTGGACCAAGTGGCTTGGCCCAGGGCAGCCGCGAGGTTTCCTGCCACACGTCGAAGAACATGTCCTGAGCATCTTGCATTTCGCCTCAGCTCGACAGCGGTTACGCGGTTAGGCGGCTAGATGGTTAGTCATACTTGCAACACGAAGAAAAATGGTTGAAATATGTTGAAATGATGATGTCCACACCAAAGTTTCTCCATCAAACCTAGCACATATCCATTCCCATCGGAAAGTGAAATCAGCGGGGATCGAAGCAATATAAGCAATTCAGCCCCATGAATTGATTTTTTCGAAAATGGCAAAAGCACGAACAGGCGGGGCTTCCCATGCACACTGCTTGGAGCGTGACAAAATCTGAGGATGTGGCTATTGGTAAAAAGTTCCGAAGTGGATCACAAATGTTGGGCAGTTTTTAACACTAAACCATCCCTTCCACAACATCAATATCTGAGACTGTCATAGTTATATATGCAACTGTCCCTGTCTCCAAGGATGGCTCTACACAAACTAATGATCAGAACGTAACATTATATACATATGTATATATATATATGTATTATGTAGGTGGACATATATATACATATAATTACATGTATAAATATATATATATATATTATACTGAAATATTCAATATCAGCCCAAAATGTCTAGTGTTGGATCTCTCTTCATTTTGGGGACTCATAAATTGGAACGCAAAAAAAACACGCCCCGGGGGCCGAATCTTCAGCCGAGACTCCCGTGTCCAGGTTCCTAATTTTCACATGCTCAGAGCCGCCCTCCTGCCCAACCCGACCACAAAACCCTGCTCCGATTTGTTTCTCTGAGAATTGGCAAGAGTCAAATGAAACACCCTTGATGGCAAAAACAGACCTTTCCCCAAAATGTTCTTTGTGAATGACTCCAATCAATTCATTGTCTTGAACAAAACGACCCTCAAAATACCAATGCATGTTGAGGTTCACAACTAATTCACCCCGTTTGAAGTGATCTACTTAATTACCTGACCTAACCGTCATCCCCTACCATTTCAAGTGATCATTGTCGAATCTGCCAAGTCAAATCCTTTGAATGAAAATGCCATGTCTTGATGATGGTTTGAACACTAAAAACATCAGCCAACCATTTCAAGTGATACTCATAGAAATCCTCACAAACGGGGGAAGAAATACTTGAACCTTAAAAATTAAAGGACCGGATAACCCCACAAGTCAACTTCTTCCAATAACGAGCAACAAAAGTTGTAGCGGGACAGGGAAGGAAGGAAAGACAAAGGAGGTGGTGGAGGATCGAGAAGTAAACAAAGTTGTATGTGAAGAGTTATGTGTGATAAAGTTGTGTGTGAAAGATGTGTGTGACACAATTATGTGCGTGACAGATTGTGTACAGTGACACACAACTGAACGATGTAAGTGCTTCCACCGGTCAACAGGGTGACAGATGACCATACGTCGCTCTGCATGGCCCAGAAGCACACACACATGCATAGCGACAAAAATTAAAGGATGCAAGTGCTTCTTTCCACGATGGGTCGCAGCTATGCGGCTACAGATTGGAGAGCATCATATGACACATCAAGCTACCACGCAAAACGAAGGTGAAGGTCCCCAAGTGCCACGCCTGCGTGTGAGATGGTGTGACGAAGTTGTGTGTGAAAGAGAGTGTGTGACAAAGTGGTGTGTGAAAGATGGAGTGAGATGGTGTGTGGCAAAGTTGTGTGTGTGTGAAAGATGGTGTGTGACTAAGTTGTGTGTGAAAGATGGTGTGTGGCAAAGCTGTGTGTGAAAGATGGTGTGTGACGACGTGAAAGATGGTGTGTGAAAAAGTTGTGCGTTGTGACAAAGTTGTGTGTGAAAGACGGTGGTGTGGGACAGGGCGGTGGAGGCAGCGGCGGGACGGAGGCGGGACGGAGGCGGGACGGAGGCGGGACGGAGGCGGGACGGAGGCGGGACGGGATACAGAATCAAAAGCAAGAACCCCACACAAAGATGCGGGGAAAAAAACGAAACGAACACTCTATGATTACTGGGACCATGAATCCCCAAGAAAAAATATCATCAATGGATTGACGGAAAAATCTACGGGAAAGTATGGGGGTAAACACCCCCGCTAATATGTCTTTATAGGTTGTCCTGTAGATTTCCCCTTCAACCAAATCCCAGATATGTGAACTCCTCCAGAGACCCCTGCGTCCTCCACCGCACTATCCGGCAGTTGACACCGCGCATGGCAGCCACCACGTCTCGAGGAGATTTTGGAGCCCATGGCAGATGGCGGTTGCGGTTAGGGCGGTTGGGCAAATGCGCGCTTGGAATACCTGGGAACCTGCGAAACTGGGTGAAGTCAGCCAATCTTCTAAGGTTATACGGTTTGATGTTGGAGGATTTTGATGCTTTTCAGTGGTTTTTACAACATCAACAAACATATTCATAGAAGTTTGAGAGTTTCGAGCCGATCTTGGGGAGTGGGGTGCACAAACGTCTCCATCGCCTCCAAATGGGCAGGCTTGGCTATGGTATCGTGCTCCCCCCCGGGTTTACACAAGGTGGTTCCACTGAGCCAAAAAGCATCCAGGCTATGAAGAATGCCATGGGAGTGGCTCAGCATATGGCTACGAAGTCTAAAGTTTCAGAATCGTTATGTTTGGTAATTACGGATATTTGTAAATTCAAATATCATCAAATATCATCAAATATCATCAAATAACATCAAATAACATCAAATATCATCAAATATCTAATATGGGGTTTCCAATTTTGAACCAGAGCCACAAAAATATGTTGAAACCTTTGCACCCTGTTTGGAGATGACTACGTGATCACCAAACAGAAGTGACTTTCAAAATTTCAAAGGTTGGTATCCACTTGCCCCAAGGGCAACCAATGTGTGCTCTGTGGAGCCTTGTTGGGTATGGAGATGTTTGGGAAATCCCCAGGAATTCATCCGAAAAAATGGACGTTCACCATGTTTTCTCCAGTGAACTCTGGCAGAACTCGTAAATTTCACACGGAAGAAACCTGGAAATCAGAGAACAACCCCAAAAAAACAATTGGAGTATCGGAGTCAGTGTCATCTCATCTTCCCGCCAACGCCTGTAAATGTGAGAGCACGCCAATGTCGGTCTTGGATCCAGAGGCATCCCAGGATTCGTCTCCCGACACATTTTATCCTCAAGTGGAACCCCCAAAAAAAATATGTGGATATAGTCCCAGCGCATCAAAATAAGTAGTGAACAACGAACAATCTCCCCAAAGGAAGCTTCCTAAGTCATGGGAGTACCCCCAAATCCTCCAAATTAGACCATTTTAGCGTTGAAAGAAATGGTGATTTGGGGGGATCTCCCACATCCTCCCAGTTTTGCCATGTTTCTCACATCCTGAGTTCCCCCTACGGAGAAACTGGAGATTGAAACGCCTGCGGCAGATGGGGGCCCCAATTTCCAGCCAGAGCACCGGAAATAAAGCCCGGCCTTGGGACTGGAGGTGGCACCTCAATCTGCAAGCCAGATTGAATCTGAATATAGGGGATATCCTCCATTTCTTGTTTTTGTGGATAGGGAACAGGGATGATAAACCATGGGAAAGTAAACTATGTAATTAGCTCCATTTCAGACAAGCCCAGAACCCATCCCAACTGCCTGGGAGGGTTGCGCCGTCAAAGGAAGGGTGGGGAGGCTTGTTGATCCCCCAATGGTGGATTGAAGCCGTTGTCGAAATCTTGGTTTTTGAAGCACAACCATTTTCTCTATTTTTCCACCAGTTGAACATGAAATTTGCCTAGGTATGAAGTATGTGTATATGTATACGTATACGTATACGTATATGTATATGTATATGTATATAGCTATGTATATAGCTGTGTATATAGCTATGTATATAGCTATGTATATAGTTGTGTATTTAATTATGTATAATGTTCTATATATATATACACACATATGCATGCAGCAAGTATATTCATACATAGACACACATCTCAACCCCATGATATCTCCATTTCCGGTGGTTCTTCCCAAAATGCTAAGATCCTTCAATCAAATTGGCCCCTTGGCCCCTTGGCCCCTTGGACCAAGTGACCGATGGGACTCAGACTCTTCTCCTCCAACAGCGTATCCTCCTCCTGGGGCAGCGATACTTCAGAGTTTCCAACTTATACCCTTCGCTCATCAAACAAACAATACAAAACACCTTTATAAATGGATGTGGATCAAACCATAGATGTTAGTCTAGTTTAGTATTAACCATCCAATTATTGGGGTACCTAATTTTGACCCATACCCAAATGGTAGTCTTCTACATGACCAACCTCAGTCGCGGTAGTCTATCACAAAGCCACTGAGCTTGTGCTTGGCAGGCGAGCCGCAGGCTCGCTGGCCGATGTGGCAAACATGCGTTAAAAGCTGAAAAGTCTCAGTTTCAGTAGGGTTTCAGACAGGACATTAGGCACTTTTAAGTGGAAGTTCCTTTGCTACGTTTTGGGCACGAAATTTTCGGTGGCGTTTTGCTGTTGCGGATGCGGAAAACCCAAGTCCTACCAATTTATAAAAGTCCTGCCAATCCAATTCATGGGAAAAAAAAAGGACACCAAGACCTGGAGTTTTCCAAGTCCTAGAAATTTCTCAAAAACCAAGACCTGGAAATCCAAGTCCTAGAAAAAGAACAAATCCGGGAAATCCAAGTCCTAAAAACAAAGGAAAACCAAAACCTGGAAAACCAAGTTCTGCGAAAAAATGCCCTGGAAGCCCAAGTCAACAGCAACAACAACGACGACGACAACGACAACATGTATACATGTATGTATATAATTGTATATACCCTCTGGTAATTTAACAGTTTGCTATTGAAAATGACCATTAATAGTGGATTTTCCCATTAAAAATGGTGATTTTCCATAGCTACGTTAAATTACCAGAGGGTATATACAGTCCCCCACCCAGTCCCTTGCGCCTGCCAAGCCAGCGGGGTGAGTGACCTCAACGGCCAATTCGATGATCGAAACGATGGCATGACGCGTCATACGACAAAAAACGCTATGTTGATTGGCTGATTTATATGGATTACTGTATATTCATCTTTATAATGATTATGAAACTAGAAGACCAAAATGAAATACTTGACTTCTTGATGTTTTCTGGTTCCTCAACACTTCAAGGAAGCGGAGTTGGGCTGAGTTCGCTGACGCTCGGGCCTGTCGCTGTGAAAGATGGCTCCCCCAAATCGAGTGGCTAAATTTGCCAGCGCGGCAATGGGAATTCCCTTTCGAATGGAGGTTTTAGATGGTTTTAGGAGAAAATCATCTACAAATGGGTAAGTTCTGCAGGGAAAATCCTCAGGTTATTTGAAGACTGCCACACCTCAACCACCTCAACCGACGCAGCTGCGCCGGACCTCAGAATTCCCATTGGATGAGTGGCATTTTGGGAAATCCCCCTAGAAATGTGAGGGTTTATAGCTGGGAAAATCATCTAAAAATGGGGAACCAACTCAAATGATCTAACAATAGTAGCCAGTTGCCTGGGAAACTGGAATCGTTCACTGGTAATCAACCCGTGACAAGTATTTGTGTTCGTCCATTTATAGCCGAAGAGCTTGACCCACGGCATCTTGAGGCTCCAGCAGACATTCCACTCCATGGAATGGGTTTTGTCCAAAAAGCGCCTGAGCCAGAAAGGATTGAAGCAGTGCTCTGGAAAATTGGGTCGGTCACAACAAAAAAATGCAGGCTTCCTCAGAGTTCTTCGACATGAATGGCTTGGTGGCGGCTTGTGCAAGTGGGACCAGTCGATCTAGGTGGAAAGACTGTAAGATCTACTGAACAGAATTTATGTTTATTTGATCCGTTTGATCGTGGAGTAATTGCACAAAAAAATTGATCGAGGCTGCACACCACACCATCATATCACCTCTCGACACCTCTCACGCTACCGGTTGGGCCATGTTGAGGAGTAATCTCATCTTCAGGATCCCTCTTTAAAGTTTCACATTTCATTTAGGGGGTTACTAACAGCTAATCAGTCGATCCCTTCCTGCTTTCATATTAAACACGCCCCCGAAACCATGGGACCAATGGGGGTGTTTAACATGAACAGAGCTTGGGATTAGAAACTCTTTGTCACATGGAGGTTTCCTAAAATGGGGGTACCCCAATTAATCCATTTTTGTAGGGTTTCCCATTTTTCTACCATCCAGCTATTGGGGTACCCCATTTATGAAAATTGAAACCACAATATTGTATCCAACTATAGTCCCATTAACTATTATAACCCATTATAAACCTCCATTTATAATCCCATTTATAGGGATTGTATCCAACTTCTGGTCGAAAAACCCGGAAAAAACAAGGCCATATCTACCTGCCTCAGTGGTGGCATCCTTTCCGGCTTGTTGCGGTGACTTCTCCTGCACCGAAATCGGGAACTGACAGGTAAAACCCGGCCACCGGATCTGATACCATCTTTTCAAACACAAGGGGCTCGCTCCATGTCTTGAGGAAAGGATCGCTAAAATTGGGGGCTGTTCGATCGGTTTTTCGGAAACCGTCAGGGTTTATCGATCCGAGATTGATCATATTGATCCCAGCAAAGGAAATGGGCGTACGACCCATTTTTTACATAAAGGTTTGTATGAATTCCTCCGTGTTTGCTGTAAGTTGTCCTTTTTTTGGCCCATTTTCTGCCGGCATGTCTACCATATCCATAATTTTTACCAAACATTTACCATAAGTCTCCCTTTTGTGTCCCAATTCTTTGCCACTCCCGTTCTTTTTCCACCTGCGAAGCACTGGATTCCGTCGAACCTGTGGACCTCGAGAGTGTAGTGGACGTCGTGGTTTCGGTCGGGTTCTTACCAGCAAAAAATGGTAGGGTCTTAGCAAAAAATGGTGGTTGAAGCGTGGTTTAACCTTTTTTTTGACCACCTTAAAATTGATGCTTTTGATGAACCAAGAAAAACTTGTTTTACGAACAAAAATGTTACTTTTCCGAACATGGGAATGAAACCAGCAAGTATATGTGTATTTTGGATGATTCATGCAGACCACACCTAACTGTTGTATCTTACTCTGTCACTGAGATTCTTTGTGAGTACAGGCTACAAGACTCAGTGGGTGTAGGGCCTCAAACTTGCCGATCTGCAGTGTTTCATTCGTGGTATTGGTGAAATTCGAGAAACATATCTCCTTGAAATGGCTCATGGTTTCAACCGCATTTCACTGATCTGATTTACTGATACTAGAATGTACCGTACATGAGTATGTTTCAACAATATATCAATATATATATAGACGTTCTTGATACGTTCTTGACAAGTTCTTGATGGGGATGATTGTTTTTTTAAGGGTACCCTCTGGTTATTTAACATAGCCATGGAAAATGGCCCATTTATAGATGATTTTCCCAGCTAGAAACCTCCATTTATCAGGGATTTTCCATGGCTATGTTAAACAACCAGATGGTAGATCATATCCCCAAAAAAAAAATATCGCCGCCGGAGCGAACCTTGGGGCCTGAGCCTGGAGGGAGCGACCTGACCGATATCCCCCACCATCATCCCCTGGATGACCATGACGATTGGTATCAAAAAGCCCATGCTAAACCGCTACACCCCTGTATCTAAATGATATCTAATGATATCTATCATATAGATATATATATATATAATGATATCTATAAAATTAGAATCACATTATAATCACATGTGTTGAAAAAGCTGCTCCGTGAAATTCAGGCAGCTGTCCAAACGCTTCTTCCACCTTCACTTCGTCTTTCCAGAGCAACCTGATCGCGGGGCACCAAAAAGCCGGTCATGATTCGAGCACGACGTAAGCGGGCTTGTCTCAAGAATTGGAAGCCAACACAATATGCTTGACCAATGACTTGACCAACACCTTTTGCTTGATTATCACTTTTGTTCATCCATTTTCATCATTCAAACTGTCAATAATTGAAGATCAATCCCCATTTTGAGACAGGATGGCACAACTCGCCTGCGGCGCTCTCTTTGCGGCCATTCCTCGCTAGTTACCAAGAGATACCAGGTAGGACACTTCTCATTTGGAGAACACAACAGTCCTTTGGGCCGAATCTTCGCAGCACTTTGGCCGCCTTGGCGATTAAAAGGCAGTTCCGGCACCAAAACGGAGAAGTTCTTTGTGCCGTGGCACTACGAGAGTGATGGGTATGGATCAATACCTATTAATACCATTTTTAGGGGAATGAACATCCATTTACCAGCTATTTTGATGTTCACCAGGGGTACAAGGTTTTGACACACTGCCATATGGGGACTGCGATTGTCTGCATGTTGCAAGCTGCAACCTGGATGAATCATTGGCCTTCCAATGTTCTGCCCGGTCCCTTAGGTGCACTGACCATCGTCTGCCGTCCTGGCGCCCAAACCACCCCAAAAACAAAGGGGCGCGTCCCGTCGAAACCGGTAGCAGCTCGGATGTGTCTTCACTTGCAGACCTTCCAAATAAGTGGCTGAAAATCGAAAAAATTCAACAAACATTCATTTAAAATCCTTTAAATCATATTTTTTCTGGGGAATAATCATTGGAATCATGAAATCATCATTCCCATCAAATTCCCATCAAAATCGACATCTGAAAATCATTGAAATCCACTGAGTGATCCCCGATCCAAAACTGGAAAGATCATCCCCCCCCTGATTGGATCAATTTCTCATCACACCTCCGAGGCCGCGCCCAAGCCATCAGTCACAGTCTGGTGCATCACTTTTTTCGGATTTCCCGAGGTCTCGGTCTTGGGAGAAATCTGGTGGAAAATCGAATCTAATCTAAGGGACAAATATGATATTTCAAATATGGTTAATAGTTAATAGATGTTAATAGTTTGTAATCCATACGAGAAGCAAAAGTGCTTCTTGTAATCCAAGATTTAGATATCAGCAAAATGTTCATTGCTTCTGTTGTCACAGGGCCAAATGGCTAGTGAAAGTTTGGCACATGGCATGCCAATGTCCAGTGACAAGCCAAACGAATTACCCAGTATCACTTAAGCTGTGTGTTGGAGGAGTAACCCCACTCGATCAATGCTATATTTTCTTCTAATCCATATGGAGGCATCTGAAAAAACAGTGATTCTGCATGGAGAAACGGGGAGAGAGAGAGAGAGACACAGAGAGAGAGAGAGAGAAAAAAAAAACGAAGGAAGAAAAAAAAAAGCAATCTTGCCCGTCACCACATTGCCTTTGATTTTCTTTTGAGGGCCATTAGGGGCTGGCCATAAATCGACATGGTCCGAATAGTTGCGATGTTTAGCCACGAGCAATCCATTTTTGGTGCTACTATGCGCGACTCACAATCCTCCATATTTCACAAACTTCTTCCAATGGGCACATTCTTTCGCAGACCCAAAGCCTCTGCGCTCCACTTTTCAGGGGTGCGCGCCAGCGCGGGCTGCACGAAAAATAGGCTGTGAAAATCACGGCCGTCGGGCCGTAAACGATGAGATGGGGCGACAAAAGGCCCGTGAAACGTCAAGAGGCAAAACCTCGAGCGCTGTGGCGCAGCTCTGGTTCAGGGTTTCAAGGAGGTCCCCAAAAAAATGGGTAGGTGAAGGAACCAAATAAATTGTCCAACTGATTTCCTATGGATGGTTCACCAGCCTGAAACCCTGAGATTCGTTGCCTGGGCTTTTTATTGTGATGGCACCGAGATTGCCCCATCTCAGTTGAAGATCGGCTTCCCATCGTCCGACATGTTGTTTTTGCCTCCGAAAGGGCAAGCTTTTCGCTGTAACAGTGGGCATGACATGGAAGCGACAAAATGAGAGCACCTCTTGTTTGTTGTAAACTAACCCCATCCTTCTAATAATATTAAACACCCCCGAGAAGCCATGGTTCAGTAGAGGATTTACACATATTTGTGACCATTTATGGGGTGTTTAATGTTAAGGTAATGGGATTATTTGGTGATACAGTGATACAAGACAAGTTACCCAGTTTTTATTCCAGGAGCTCGGCAAGCAAACGACGCTTGCCACTCTCAGACCCAGCTGAGGAGGGCACAGTTTTTGCAAAATCGTTCAGCATCTTCACCTCAGGACATAGAAGTACGCTTGGGGGTATCATGGCTTGAAGAGTTGCTGCGTGAAATGGACTTGTTTCACCCAAATCAGCTTGTGCCGATTTCAAAGCAGACAAGCTGGTCATCTGAGAGGCATTGCCATGACAAAACCAACTTTTATACAGTATGTGTGCCTTTCAAAATGTCCCAAATATGGCGTGCATCTGCCAATGTCAGTTCCTCACAAATGTCATGAGGGACGTTTTTTGCAAATTCCCAAAACTCTTTTGAATTGAGGGGGCCTCACCTGTCATGTTTTTTGACCTTTAGTAGTAAACCACCCCATCTGGTGGGGCAAAATGGTGCAACTTATTGAATCCCCTCAAGAAAAATGACTGGTTGGTGGTATACCTACCCCCCTCTGAAAAATATGACTTCGTCAGTTGGGAAGTTGACATTCCCAATATGTGGAAAGTCATAAAATTCCATGGTTCCAAACCACCAACAAGATGATGATTGTCCCATTTCACAAGCCATTTCTGGTGGATTTCCAAACCACCAACCAGATATAAATGTTATATGGATATATGGATGATAATTGGGATAATTGGGATAGCTACTGACGGGATAAAACTGGATATATATATATATACATATATTATATACACTGTCCAGTAATTCTATCCCATTATATTCCAAAATATTCCATCCCTATTACCAACCAGATGACAATGGATTGAATATTATCTGGAATATTCTGGATGGTAATAGGGATGGTTGATAATTGTTATCCAGAATATTCCATCCCTATTATCAACCAGAATGGATGGTTGATATCGGAAAAAAAAAAAACGCACCTTAAATTCTGTGGAACTTCACCAAGGGACATCCATCTGCCGTGGGGTTCAGGTCGCAAGCAGTCAAGGGCTGCCAACGCACCTCGCCGTTGCAAATTAAATTGGGAGAATTTGGGAGATTTACCCTAGCTTATAACCAAAAAAATGGGAATATCATGGGAATATGATGGGAATATGAGATTTCATGGGCATATCAATGGGAGTACCCTGTCTGATCACCAGCAAATATGAGGATTGAACATGATTAGACCAACCATACTGGGGATGAAATAGATTAAGTTGATTAAGATTATGTTTTGTCTCCGTACCCAATGCCATAAAACTCCCATTGCGCATGATTTCTACACACCATTTCCGACCATTTTTTGGGGGGTGACTTGTTGGATTTGACCAACTAACACCTGGGAGGTTGAAATATGACGGTTTACCATCAAACTATCCGAAAAAAAAATGATTGTGTTAGCATGTGTGATAAACATCCGTATTATATCTATATATATACACACTAGCATTGTAATGTTGGGTGAAAATGCGAAGATCTCACATTGGCAGTATTAGGAAGTATATTGCTGTCGAACATTGGGATGTACATCAGCTATGAACCAAAAAATCTGAGACCCTTTACCCACTAATTTGGGCGGTGTGCAGCCAACTACCTTGATTTTTGTGCTTCCAAATGTTCAAGCATCCGCAAATGGAAGGGGAAGCTGGTGGAAACACATCATTTCGGTGTGAGAACCGATGTCAAATTGCTTGGAGCTTGGTGGTCCTTGCGCAAGTTTCAAGCACTTTAAACATTTTCACTGCTACCATTCTTCAAGGCCGTCAGGGTTCAAACCAGTGTTTTGAGGCTAAGGAACATGTGTCGGGTTTCAGAGGCCAGTGGCACAGCGCATTCCTCGAAGTGGCACCCACTTCTTTATGGGATTCGTTCCCAGCCTATTCGAAGAAGTCAGATTCAATCACCCCATTTTCATGCGAAAATATCCTCCAGTAATCAAACATGGCAGAAAATCTTCTTCACCGAGGTTTCCCCGGCAACCAAAAACATCGGCCCCGTGGTTCACCGAGGAATTTGATATCTCTGATCACAATAGCAGAACGACTTTCCAGGAGAAATCCAAACGAAACACATGTTGACTTCGATCATAAGGGGGTCTCAAAATATTCATTCGATAGCTTCAAAAATTGTAAAAATGAACATTGGGATAACCAATGAAGGTAATGATGAAGAACCAATGAAGATGATGATGATCAAAATGAGCCAGGAGCCCCCGCTGCACCAGGATACCAGGTGGCTTTCAACCTGAGGGGCGACCCTGGTACCACATCAAAAATATGACGGTGCTATGTACGGATGTCGATCCCCAGACATCTGATATCGGCGTTGTCCCATCTGAAAATGGTCTCAGATGATGATTTAGGATACAAAATGATCTGGTTGTTGGTCTCCTTGGCACCCCAAAGGATGCGCAAATGCTCGAAGATCTCCGCCAAGACCAAGCCACTGATAGAATTCCAGCTGCGGCAAATCCTTGTTGTTGTACCGCCTTGGAACCAACGCAGCGGATGGACATAGAGGGTCTAGTTGTGATATCAGCTGCTTCACTTGATTCCTGAATCACGATGTTCTGGCAAAGAATAGAGCATCAATACTTGTTGTAAACTACCAACCATCATTAAAACCAAAGATCGCACAAGCGATCTTTAACAGTTGAGATCCTCGAAGATACCCATGTCTCATCACTTCAGCGAACTACCTCGATGATCCTTTGCCGTCGAGTTATTCTTTAAAACACAAAAACAACAAGGAGGGGTCATATTTTGCAGGCAAGATGTTGGAGTTTGGATCAATTGTTGTATATTCCCCCTTGATAATTCCAAAAATTCCCCATTCAGAACAATGGATATCCGATGATATCCGTTAATGATGATAAAATGGAACTCTTCCCCAGGCTTGTCATCCATATATATATATATGGGGATGGGTCAAAAGCCTGTTACCTAGTGAACCCCAAAATAGCTGGTAAATGGATGTTCATCCCACTAAAAATGTATCTATAGGTATTGACCCATAGCCATATATATATTTATTATAGAAGGCTTCGAGTCGGCTGGAACCCCCGGGGCTCCCCGACTTTGGCAGCGCAGCCACGAAGCGGAAATTGATCTCGGCGGCGAAAAAAAAGCAGCCCGTTTTCGATGAAATCGACGGCTGAAAACTTGGAGATCCATAGAAGACTGCAGGTGTATCTATTGTGTATTATGTATATATATATATACGATTATATACGTATATGATGTACATATGCATATACATCTACATCTACATCTACATCATATATATATATACTAATCAAGTATGCGTATATATATATATGTATATATACATGTGTATATATATATATACACAATATGTATACTATAAGCCATAAGATCAAGGATGCATATCACCACGATCGCTGGGCCGCCCGCATCGTTGGTGCCTGGAGGAATCTCCTCAACCAACGTGAACTGGCCGTTGTCCGACCTCTGCGAAACCCAGATTGAGAAGAATCACTCCAGTTTGAACCAGTTTATTATGCGCACACATGTGGGTCTGGGGAGATAAAAAGTTGCTGACAATCTGGGTAACAAAAACCAATATCGTTCATGGGTTATGAAAACCACTTTTATTATGTATCCCCGGTTGTAGATGACTGTCCCATTGAAAGCAGGGATAAACTCCAGCCATCTTCGAATGTACCCCAACCTCCGGTGCAAAATGTACTCAGGTTTTTCCTCGTGAAGAAATTGCGTAAAGATTGCCATAGAAAGTTTCTTTGGAATCCCCTATGGCCCTGGACAAGCCCATGACAAGCCCACTTGACTTGGGTCCATGGGAGTCCATGGTCAACCACAAACCTCGGTCCAATTCTTTGATCACTTCAGGCCAACTCGGTAAATCAAGAGCTTTACCAAAAAAATAAACCAAAAAATACCTATGGAAAATCACCACTCTTAGGTAAAATCAACCATGAATGGGCAATTGTTCCAGAATATTTCTGGTTATCCACCATGAAATCACCATGAAATCACCATTATGTAATTATGTACTATAAATCACCATGAAATCACCATTAAACACCATGAAATCACCATTAAACACCATGAAATCACCATTAAACACCATGAAATCACCATTTTCTATGGTGAAATCCCAGGTTCTCCACCCAGCTCAGCTTGCGGACGCCCCATCCATGGCATTGGCCAAGACGGAGGTCACCTCCTCGCCGTTGTTCACCTTGCCGAAGACGCCGGCCTCACGTCAACAAGCATCGATCGGAGTCGAATAGATATGTTGGAGTGATAGATATTCTGGAGATATTCTGGAGTATATGGAGATATAATGAGTATGTCTATATATATATATATTAATATGTATATGTATATGTATTTATATATATATGATAGAGATATAATGTGTGTGTGTATATTTTATTTGTATATTATATATATAGTGGAGATGCCTAATAGAAATGCCATGATATCAAAAATATGATGGGACTTAAGTGGGAATATCGTTCAGATATCATGGGGATATCATGGGATTTTGATTACACGATCCTTGTGCCCAATCGTTTGTCCAGGAAGTGTCCCAAAAATTGTTCTTCAAATCATTTGGCGGGAATTGTATCACCTGTTCAATTTGGACAATTGGGATTTATTGATGATACTGTATCACTTGTTTATTGGTTTTGTACCTCCGTTCTTGTGATTTATAGTACCTTCCATTCCCATCAAATGCTGACTTTTCGATGACTTGGGGCTAGTGCGTCCTATCCCAAATTTTAATCTACCGGGAAAAAAAAAGATGGAGCCTTCTTCAATACCCTATCTTCGGGATTCGTCACGGTGGCTGTCACCTGACAGAGTACGATGGGCAGATTCAGCCGATGTGGAGATGCATCATGTTGGGATTTATGAAGATAGATATCAAATATCAATGAAAGTTTGCCTTGATTTGGGGATTTATGATCAATCCTTCAAATATCAATGGGAATTGCGGAACCTACAACCGGATGAATGTGTATGTTACAAACATCGGGAGTCTTGAGCAACGGAAATTGTCTTTTGGCAGGACTGCAATCCACATATACTGGAAAGCTGGGTTTGATTTAGTGGGATCAGGTATCAGTTTGAGAAATGTTGAACCCCCCCATTGTTCCAACGCCAACCACAAAATCCACAAAGGTTGTTGTATAAAGATGTCTAGTCTCATGGCCCGCAGCCATTGGTGCAGCATCATAACCAAGGCTGAGATCGCAGTTCAACAGTTGAAGTGGACAGTGGCAACGTGACCAAAGCCTTCCAAAAGCCCCAAACACTGAATCGTTCCACAGAGTCTAGAAACCAGAAACCACTTCTTATTCAGATCGAATTCTCCAGTTTGACTCTGTTTGACTCACATAAAAATTTCATGGGTCTGAAAATACCCGAAAATCCCATCTAAAATCCCATCTGCCTTGGGGTCCCGTTTTGGGTCCCCTTTTTCGCCTCGACACAGCGAGGCTCTAAGCCATACGTGGCACGAGTTCCCTTCAACATCTCACCTGGCGGATGGCATACCAAGAACCACCAAAATTCATGGGGGTTACCAATTACAACTATATACAAGGTGGTGCCCCCCAGTTATATATGCGTTGTAATCCCATTAAATAGGTATATCACCTATAAACCATAGCTATTGGACTTATAAACCAACTTAGCTAACTATGGGGCACCCTCTCCCAACTATCTGTTGAATGGGTGATATATCAGACTTTTCGCCATTTGCTTCGAAGGAGTAGAGAATCTATGGAATGGCGAATTTTAAGAATGGAATGACCCTGATTGAAATTGCACCAACGACACCACCCGTGCTGCCGTCCATTTTGTCCTGTTGCTTTGGAGCCGTCGGACGCTGCTTTCTTTTCCTTCCCGGGCACGTTGTCTCAACGGGGCCTGACTTTTGGACCCAGTCGGGTACAACGCGCCTGCTTTGCGGGACAGGAATGCACACATAGACCTACTCTGCTGGCAGTTGCACTCACGGGAATCTATGAAAACTCAACCAAAATTCACTTTCATATTCCATGAAAATCGCTTTTTCAAGTCATGCCCTCCTTTTTTTTTCGGGAAATCCACGGAAATCCCATCTGCAACCCCGAACCCCCGCCAGCTGCGCCACTAGGCGTCGTCGCCCGGCCCTGCAGGGCCAGGCAGCCAGAGAGACACGGCGAAACGCTTTCGGCCGGTGGGCAAGACCTCGTGCGGGATGTCCTGGGCGTTCACAAAAAAATCATCCCATTGGAGTCCCATTGGAGTCCATGGTCATTTTATGTCACTTTGGATGGGATGGATTTTTTTCATGTTCAAAAGAATGATTGGTCATTTTTCAAGTCTGGAAACCATCAAGTCTATGATAAGTCTATGGTTTATCCAGATGGGCAGCCGTGGAAAGATCCAATCCCCAGCCTGTGACGTAGAACCCCCGGGGTGGTGGTATGATGACCAATGATCATTCTCCGATGACCCAATCCTAATATAGGTCACCATAGAAGCATATAATAGCATCATCCATAAACATACACAGTATATATGCATATATTATTAATTGATATATATATATATATTACCTACATAGTAATTACATATGTATATGTTATCAATTAATATCTATGTATATACATATACGTATACATCTGTGTACATCTGTGAAAAAAATCAAATCCATCAGTCTTACCATTCAACCTATGTCCAAAACATTCCAAAACAATAGAGCCGCCACGTGTCTCGACTGCGAAAAAGCACCAGGCGACCCCCCACAGGGTCGATATCGTGCTCCATCTGGGCATGGCCGGGATCAGTTTTCAGGAGAAAATCATGGAAATCCAGGAGAATTTGACAGTAAAACCCATGGAAAACACTGATGACCATGAAAAATTGAAGAGTTGGATTCCGAAACCATCATGTTGCTAGATTTTGATGATTTTCCCACTTCGGGAAGTTCAAGTTGAAAATTCTGGGGTGCAAATGGGTGCAATTTCTGTATTTGCACCTCTAGGTTCCCCATGTCGATAGATAAACATACTGTTGTGCCATGTTCATGAGTCATATTTACAATGCAGTTTTGCACATTGATGCGACCCTACCTCATGGGTAGGACCGGAAATGATGTTGTTCCATCTTGTTTGGTTGTGATTCTACCGTACCTCATGGCTGGCAACCCTTCAATGACCCTCGTGCTGTCGGCGCCTCATCTTCGTTGGGCTCGGTGGCGCCCTTCTCCAGCTGGAAAGGATTGGGCCGTTGCTTGTACAAACGAAGCTGACCTCCATCACTGGATGTCCAGTCTTTGTTCGCCTTGGTGAACTGCTGCGCTATGCCACTATGGCTATGTCGATTGGAAATCACGGGTTTTCTTTGCAAGTCATCGCGGGATCCAAGACAAAAATACAGTAAATCTTGCAAACCACCAGAATGGGAGGGAAATCCAACATCATCAAATAACTTTATCATATACTCAATAACCAAGCAGTTCTTGCAAACATGTTCTCTGTACCAAACTCCCCAAGACCCCCCACCTGGAGTCACTCACCAAGGTACGTAGAAGATGGCGGTCACCTTCCTACCGTTATTCAGCTTGGAGTCGTAGCCACCATCCATGTGCTTCTTGTAGAAAGCCTGGCAACTTGGAACCCTTGGAAGCCTGTGGGATTCTGAATAGAAATCCCAAAGACCATCAGTTGGAGTATGAGTATTATTGATTCATATTGATTCTTAGAACCATGGTTGCCACATAACTCACATGACCATCAGCTCTAAGTGGAATCCCTAGCCCGCCTCTTTCGGATAAGAGGCCAGCTGAAAGGATCCAGAGGCCTGCAAGTAGAGGCTGCCTGGGCTCCCGCGAAACAGCACAGTTTACAGCATCCCCTTGCCGGGGACAAGATAAGAAAAAATAAACGAGCCAGCACCCACCATCTTTACTCGTTGATATCTGTAGACAAATTAATATATATATATATATAATGTGTATATATATATATACAATATATATATAATATAATGTATATATATATATATAGATGTGTGTTTTTATATCATGTGTCCCGGTATCCCCATGATTGTTGGTGAAATCTCCATTGCCCCAAATATCGGCATCGTCGGCAAAGGGCACATTTCTTGTTCAGCTCGAAGGGGATGGAGATCATCTTCTTGAAAAGCTCCAGCAGCCCTGGTTGCTTCTCTCTCTCCAATCCCTGGCGGAGATGGCTTTGGGATTGATTTTTTTTCCGCAAAAACCGATGGTTTTTTAATGGGAAATACAAGGTATAAAAATGATAAATGATAAACGTCAGAAACCACAAAATTCTGAGAGGTAACCAATTTTCAGACCAATCCATTTGACACATGTTGTTAATGTTTGTGACGGTGGTTTTCAGGGCTTCATAGGTTTCACTTTACAGGTCAGATATATTTTCGACAGAAGCTCCACCAATTCGCTGTTGGATCGATTTGGTTTCCGGTCAAATACTTGGGCAATTACCCCACTTGGAAGCGTTTGCCACATCCCCATCTTTCACTGACCTGTATGTTTCGGCTTCCAACCTCATAGTTCACCCAACAGATCTTGTCACTGCGAATGCCCGCCATCTTCTGCTGTTGCACCTGGCGTCGTTTCAGGAAAAGACGAGCTTCGCCCAAAAAGGTGACTGAAGGCCAAGAAAAACTTGAAGTCTGACCTCTATATACACATGTTTGGTTCAGAAATGCATGTCTTTACAACTTTTTGAGTCCAAAAATCGATGGGTTCTCTGTGACTGTTCTACCGCTTTGGATTTGGGAGGAGTTCCACGCAGTTTGCGGCGTCCCCAAATTAAGAAAACTCTCTCCTCTTCCCAAACTTACATTACCCTCTGGTAAACTAACAGTTTGCTATGGAAAATGGCCATTTATAGTGGATTTTCCCATTGTAAAAATTGTGATTTTCCATAGTTATGTTAGTTTACCAGAGGGTAAACCATGATTAGCTTATCTCCTTCAACAACCACGTGTTGGTCCATGTCTTCCAGGGGGTCAATTTACCGCAGTCCTGTCACACAGATCCAATCAGGCACCAGTGAACAGCGATCTCGTTTGTTTATGGCCCACTTTTTTGATGTTTCTCCCAGCATCCAGGATCATCCAGCATCCGCTATGGGTATGATGGGCCCCAAAACTTGCCAAACCAGGTCGTGGCGGACGATGGAGAGCTTGCCGTCAAAGTCGATCATTTCCAGTTCCCGGTAGACGTCGTTCACCAGGTCATCTTTCAGGAAATTCTCCTGGGGGCAGCAACAGAATCCGTGGATGATACTGTGGTAACGATAATGATGATAGGTGGTACTGGAAGATTTCTCATTTCTGTATGCTTCATGATTTATGAATTATACCGGAGGTTTCCTAAAATCAGCGTACCATCAAACATCCAAATTAGCCTTTTCCAGTATATTGAAATTGGAACCCCATGATTTTGGTGGATTTCCCGTGTTCAGACACACTCTTTCCGACCGAAAAGTCCGACTCGCCTGGATTCCATAGCCCTGCTCCATCAACCCCTGCCCAGTTCCAGCGGTGGCGGGGGCTTCTGGTAGACATATCTCTACACTTCAACGACGGCCGACTTAGAAGTGGTTGAAAGTAAACCAACAAAATTCATGACGGCCTGAAAGCGGGAGGCTACATGGATCAAATTTGGGGGTACCCCATTTTCAGACAAAGCCATAAGACTTTTCCACCTAATGGTGACTCCTGTCGTCTTTTCGCAAAATTCCGCCTTCACGCAATCCACATCCAAACTCTCGAGGTCCCCAATGGTGTAGCCCTGGAACCCATGGATCCAATAAAGGAGTCCAACGGGGTCCCAAAAATGAAGAGATCGAAGACTAAAGAGACTAAACCAGAGGCTTCTAGGGTGGTATGAATCATATTTCGGCTGAAAATCACCGCTTGAAACAAGGGAACTATCCACAAATGCTGGGATTTGTTATGGCAACATGACTGTTTTCAAGAGGCTACGGTAGATTTTGTTCAATCAGATCAGCACCAACAAAATTTCCGGTTGATGATTCATCGTCTCCCACCTGTGGGGTTGCCAGCAATCCCGCATCGTGGCTGTTGGCAGCAAATGCTTCGCTGTTCTCCGTCTGGGCGTTTTTGGGAGATGTTCAAATGATAATTTTTCGTGGTCAAATGAAGACTGAATAAGACGGGATGACTACCCTCTGGTAAACTGTTACATAACTATGGCAAGATCCACCATTTTTTATGGGAAAATCCACTATAAATGGCCATGTTCCATAGCAAACTGTTAGTCTACCAGAGGGTAATGTTGACTACCATGCTCTATTCAAAATCCGGATTGCGCCCTGGGCCGACTGGCATTGATCTGCTTCACAACATAGCGAATGAGACACTCCTGGCGAACCCAGACCAACACCGAAATTGACCACCTTTGAAGCAGAGAATTCTATCCAGTATAGATTCATCCTCTTTCACAATATGGTTTGATGATCCCTTGTACAAGTGACCTATTGGAGGCGCATCCATCCATTAACACCGTCACAAAATGAGCCCACACCAGGATCCACCGTCCCTCCGCTCGGCATCCTTCACCACATCTCTCATCACTTGGATCTCCGTTTCTGTATCCATCGTCTGGCCACTTTGAGCCCCCTGACCGCGAACCGTTGAGATTTTTCAAGCCCCAAAATGAATTTCTCTTCAAGCCATGGCAGCCATTCCCATCCCGCCACCCTCAACCCCCAGCAGCATCGCTCCCTGCGGTCCCTGCGCCTTCCGTTTCACGTTGCCGAAAATCTCCTGCGCCCATTCCATGATGGGTCCCGCCGCATCACGCAGCGCCGAGGGCTTCGTAAAGTCCTGGGAAGGAGCACCCGGAAAAACAGGGTCCCTGGGTAGATAGGGAAGAACCAATTTCCTACCTTTCAAAGGTACCATTGGATATGGTAATAAATAAATATATATTATATTATATATCCCTAATATGGCCCTTAAGCAACCCTCAGAGATTTGTTTCTCAGGCAACACTATGCATATTGTATAATTTGACCATGAATGGGGTCCAATGAGGATATTCGATCATTGAGATAGGTATGGGTCCTTTCACCGAGTGCTAGTACCCTGGTGATCAAAATATTACTTGTGTTGATGGATATTATTCGAATGGGTTCAACCACCTAAGCATGTTGTTTTTGTGTGGTACAAATTACCCAGAGGAGGCTTTCTAATTCAGAAAGGGAATGGAATGTGCTGATCGCACATTATATAACCAGACTAATGTGGGTAAAACAATGCCATTTGCACCATCCCCAGTCATCACCATGTTTATAGGTGGTATGTAAAAACCATTCCCAGGAAAATGGGTGGTAAAAATGGCATTGTTTGACCCACATTACAATTAGTCTCATTATATATAATCACCATTATTAACCCATTAACCATTCATCACCATTATGAACCATTAATGATTACTAACCATGGTAAAAATGGCATTGTTTGACCCACAGATTCCCCAGCTTCCCCCAGTTTCCACGGTGTCGGCACCTCTATGAGTCGATACGCAATGTCCTGCTCCGACTCCGGCACGGGGTCATCGGCGGCGCCGCAGCACTTGCCACGGAACTCGCGAACCTCGGGCGTTTCCGCAAGCGGCACCGAAATGTTTGGGTGTCCTGGGGTTCCGCAGCACCTGCATGACCAGGTCCTCCCCTGAAAAAAATGGGTGAATTTCTGAGGATTGCCTCATTTTTCAACCATGTTTTGAAACAGACTCAGCTGGAGAGGTTCCAACCCGCTGGAGATCAGCATTTTCCCATGGACCGCCGCCAAGGTACCCCAGTGCCCGACCGCACCCTGCGTTCCAGGTCTTGCTTCGCTCGCTTGTTGCGGTCCTCAGGCTTCGTCCAGAAAATCCCCAGGGTCCAAGATGTTCCCCATAAAAACTGCCATTTTCTGATGGATTTCCCAGTGGTGTTCCATGTTCCCCATTAAAAAAAAGTTCGGGGTGCTTGCCATGTCATGTCAAAGCTTTCACCCCAAGTGGTATGGGTGAAGTCATTGGGGAAGCATGCCTCATGCCTCATGCCAAGTCTGGGCTCCCAGTTCAAAAAGGTGTGCAAAAAAAACTGCCTTATTCTGCATTTGTACTTTTTGACTGCATGACTATGTGGGAAACAAATCCAGAAAAAAATCAGATCTAAGCCTTAAGCACGCACAGATCATTTCCTGCGCTTCGCACCAAAAATGGTCCAAGATGCGTTGAGAATCTCCTGGAAGATCTTCACGGTGGAGTCGATGGTACCTTCCTGACACAGATTAAAACAGGTTGCCTGTTTTTTTCCGAGATGTCCAACTTTTCTACCCTTCGGTACTGAAGCATGGCTGGGAAAATCCGCCCATCGAAACATGTCCATGTTTGATGGGGATCTCCCATCTAGTGCTCAACTGGCAGAACTGCAGTACTAAACCACCTACAATTTTTTGATTCGGCCAAGACTCACCTCACTGTTCTCATCCCCAATTCGAATGGATCATCATCTTCCCCATGAATCCAGTGCTCAAAAAATGGGGGCGCTTTTTTTCTATTGGCCAAGCCATTTCTGGGCGTTCAAAAATTGCCGCCAAGGCTCATCCCATTCGTGCTTTCCCGCTTCCTTCACCTTGACCCTCTCAGCCTTTTCTTTGGAAATCGCCTGATCTGCTGCCAGATTGATGTCCCCGGAAGGGGAGATGTCACGTGCCAGAGGACCAGCAAACGCTGAGATTTGAGGACCCCTATGTGTAGAAATGATCCGACTCATCCTACAAACTGATCCCATTTTTTTCAGAAATGAACTAAACTATATAAACCATCCTGACCCATCCTACATGGTTCAACAGATTTAAAGCATCAAATATCAGAAAATCACAAATCACCCGTTCTTTCAGTGGAGCCGACCTCATCCCAGCCTTGTCCAGAAAACCTCCCTGCATGGCCACACCACGGCTCCATCCACGGCTCTGTTTCGTGGAGCTGAGGGTTTGGAGTAGATTTTGCTCAAGATGAAGGTCCCATGTGTTCGATTTAGTCTAGGTGTTCATAGGTTCCATAGGTTCCATAGGTTCCATAGTTGGTCTTGAGGTGGATGAGCTGTGGATGTTTACAGCATCGCTTTAGCTTTGCTGCAAAAGGTGCTGAGATGTGCTGAGATGGTTCATCCGCGGCAACCAGAAATGTTTGGCATCTTTGGACGAAGGGCATGAGAGACGCAAATCCGCAAAAACTGATTGAGGACCTGAGGTTTTCTCCACCTTTTTCGGGATCCAAACCCCATCTGTTGATTTGCCATGTTTTAAGCATGGTAAAATTGATCACAAGAAACCGATGATGCTAAACCAAATGGAATAGAAAGATACCTTCAACACGATTGATGTGGATGCAACCGTTGATAGTGGATGCCTTCCCTTCAGCACATGTTCAGCCGCGCCGAGCCTTTGTCTGGGTCGCACTGAACCTCCCTGTACCGGATGTTGGACCTCCCAAATCAAAAACGGTGGAGCAAGACTCTCGAAATGAGGAAATGGGTCAAAATCTCGGACTTCTCGTATCAAGTCATCTCGCAGGGGGTTCAGCACCTTGACCTTCCCGAACTATGCCCATCTTCCCACAAGGTCACAGTAAAATTTGGCAGCAGCCGGCACGAGGCATTTCTATTGGAAATCCATCCCATCTGCCAATCAAAGTCATCAATCTCGGATCCTATATATATATTATACATATATGTATATATCACTTGACATCCAATCTTGCAGAGCATCGACATTTGTTGTACTGTGTTCTCCACAACCAATGTGTGAATCACAACTCACAACCTTAAATCTGTCCAACTCCGTTAATCACCCGCCACCAGCAGTTCCACATGGACGTCTCCAATTTTTTTTCATCGTTCTCAAAACCCGGTGGATCTGGATTTTTTGCACGAAACCCAGAATCCGTCATCCATCACCTTCTGGATCTGATTCCTTTCCAATGTTTCCACTTTTCGGGGATCTGTTTCCCTCAGGGACAGCAATGGAAATCCAACAAAAATCCAACCAAACCACCTCCCACCCCCTTGGGCCCCAACATTGGCATTTTCACATCACCGAAGGCGCCAGCTTCGCGGGGCGCAGTCATCACCTGCTTCACCCAAAGAGATTTGTTGCAAAGTGATCAATTCTTCAAGGAAAAACCTGGGAAACTTGAAAATTTTACTGAAGAAATGTCAAAAAATGTTTCCTTTCCAGGTCAGGGACATAAAATTTGTTGGGTTGCAGCATTCTCAACATACGTGTTGGCTGTTGCCCATATTTACGACGATCCGCTGGGTTAAGCATATAACAATTTGCCTCAACAGGCCGATATGAAACCACAGCCGTGGCGCACCGCTGCAGCTGCCCCAAAGAGTGCTCGGCGTGGCAACTGCGCCGCAAGCATAGGGCACCCGCATTTGAATGTGGTTTATAATCCTGTATACTTGGAATATTCCATATATAATTGAGTGGGTATAATATGGTTATCCGACACCAAGTATCAGTCAAGAATATCCAGTTGAATCATCTAGTTATGTCAAGTATGTTAATTACGAGCGAATGATTGAATTTGTATCTTTGTCATATATATAACCAAAGCTGTACATGTACATGTTGTACGCGCATACAACCGTTACACCACCTTTGGGCAAATGATCCCACGTCCCTTTGAAAATGCCGAACACAAAAATTACTAATTAATCATCAAAGCATCCAATTCCACTGTTGCAACATCAAAGATTGCAATAAAAATGGAAAACATCAAATTATTTGCATGGATGTCTTGTGTTGGAACCCAAACATACCAAGATGTTGTATTTGTTCAAGTTGGGACAGTACGTGATTAAATGCAGGGGAAGGATTAAAAAAATGTGCAACATTTAGGGTTTAACTACTCTATTGGAGGACCAATTAAAACATGTTTTGCTCGTGCATTCTGAGGGACCCGCCACATGTTCATCAACCCGCGTCCGCATTGGTTTTCCCTATTCGGTAGTTGTTGATCTTTTTTTTTGCTTGGCTCACTGATACACATGGAACTGTCGACCCAACTAAAGCCACATGGATGATCTACAATGGCCAAGTTCGCCCACATACTTGAAGCCCTCACATTGCTGGGTAGGGTTGGGTGGCTGACCACATCACGTGTTTTGAAAATTCAAAAAGCCTTGTTCTTCGCCCGGGCAGGTTCTACTTTGAATGCTTGAAATGCCCCGCAACTGTAGACCGGGTGTGGATAATTCGGAATCTCTGTTGGTCAAAGATCGATCACCAAACATGGCTGATGTCATTTGAAAGATATCCGATGAAAAACTTGGTAGAATTGATGCGCAATGGATGAAATGGATTTGGGGTACTCCACCTGAAAAGATTGATGGGACCACCGCTTGCTGTTTGCAAAAATATTGTCTTCTTTTTATAATTGTCATATTTGTGGATATTAGAGGCCTTCCCCAGGGTTCAAGTTAATAGGATGATTTCAAGCTAGTCGGCCCCATCTCAAGATTCAAGAAGGAGTATGAAGTTACACTTCGTTGGAACGCCGCCCAGCATGCTCCAAAACTCTGCCGCTCAACCCCCCAAATCCACATGCTGCCAGCCCAAGCGCGCTCCTCAGCCCGCAGAGCCGCGGCGCAAGCCGAACGCTGCGATCGTTTTGAAAGTTGTTGTTGGGGGCCCCCGTTTCACATACGCTACCCTTGGGCAAGAAATGGGGCCTTGTGAGCGCTACTCCTTCATTCCTCGTCGTTCCGTGTCATCGCAGATGGCGGCAGTCGTTGCAATGGTCAATGTCGTCGTCGTCGGGCAAAATGTCCTCGTCGTATATAAGTGGTCGTCGTCGTCGCCGACACAAACATTGGATTCAACATCTGAGGCAAAATTACTTTTTGGAATGATTTTGAATGACCAATACACATTTTATAGCCAGGGCAAATGAAAGCACATCAGGGCCGATTAGTAGTCAGTTGCACCAGCTGCACCAATTTGGGCGGGAAAAAAGAGAATAGGGACTGCTGATATTCTGCATTGTTTTTGCCTGTAATCCCCTGACGCCAACACATCTTCCAGCAGCTGAGCTGCTATGCCCCTGAAATGCTGCAAGTATCATGCCTGAACACTAACCAAATATCTTCCCTCTCTCTCTCTCTCTCTCTTTCTCTCTCTCTCTCTCTCTCTCCATCTCCATGTTGAGTTCTTCCTGTGTCTTGATTTGCAATACTGGTCCTGCCTTCCGAGAATCTCCCCCAGGTGTGAATGAGATCGTCTTTTATGCTGCAAAGTTTCCCATGTAAGGAGTAAACAGTGGACAAAACAGGGACAAAGGTGAACAATTGCAAAATGGCGTTCTGAAAATATCCTCAACATCTTTAACATGACATAACATGACCATTCAAAAAGGGAAGATGAAAAACCTGGGGATACCCGATGTTCAGTCCGCAAATCCAGGGGCCCAAAAAGCCTACGTTCCAACCCCATGACCCGATGGCCAGCATCCTTGCACCAAGGAACCAGCCAAAACCTCTGGAACATGGGGTGCCCATGGGTGCCCTTGCTCATCAGTTGTACCCCCTGGAAATTCTTTGTGAGTTTCACGTTCCATTGCGTTTGATCACTCATCACTCAGAAAATCCTTGAAAACACCAATCTTCTGTTGTTTAAAAACCTGTGATTCCCTGATTTTCTGAGCTGTTTCTCCAATCTTCATACCCCAGCTGCAGCACTCAGCTCTCGCCTCCCTCATCGACTGACCGGGAGACAAAAACGCAGAGCTGGTACAGCATACAACCAGGACCTGGTTAGTGACTGGGATACCTTGAGGAAATGGGACGGGAACTAGGAAAATCACCAGTCATGAAATCTGAAAAGATGATTCCATGACTATGGCCTGATTTGTCATTATCACCAGTCTACTAAAGTGGGTAAGCCTCCAAGGTAGTGGACCGGTGGGATATCAACTGCCAAAAAATTGGGTAAACCAAGTGCTGTTTGGTGCTCCACCAGAAGACTTCCTTGGTGGAACACCAGGGTTTCACCCAAGCGCCCTTGTGTTGGGAATTTCGATGGTTGCTCATCTTTCTTCTATCCTAAAATTATCTCGAAACTGAGGCAAAATCATCTGAAATTTCCAAATTTTGGGTTGTCCATTTTCAAACAAACCCAGGACCCAGTTGAGTCGTCTGGCAACCACAAAACACCAAGTCTCCCACGGCCGTGGCTGCAAGACCTCCCCGACTTCTGCCTCAGTGGCTGGTGGCCACTGTATTTTGTGGCTCAAAAGAACAGGATTGCAGCATCAGAAGTTGGTATCCTTTGGTAATTTCATCTGGGAAAATGCTGGATGAAAATTGCAAGGTTCTCACTTGCTATGACCGTGAAGTTGTGTTGTGACGGGCCCAGCTTCTAGAGCTTATTTTTGATCAGCCAAAAAAGGACAAGTCACACAGCCAACGGATTTTTTGTCATCGGGTCAGGATCTTGGATTGAGGTTCCAATCAAATCAGTCCCTTTCCAAAACCAACCCGATCCCAGTAGGGGAACCGCTTGAGGATCCCTCAAGAGCTCCAGCATCTGCGGAGGATGCTGAATAGTGCGCATCAGACAATGTTCAACAAGCACATAGTAACCTGTGTCACGGACTCCTCAGGTAAAATTTCATGGCCAAGTTGCGGCAAGTTATACACCCAGTTCAGGGGCTCCAACCCGAAAGTGACAACTTCGAACTGCTCAGGTCCCAAAAATGGACCCACCGGACTCAACACCTCTGGTCACCCCCTGGGAATCCCCACGCGGGGTCGCCCATGCTCGCCTGCGGAGCACCATATGACGATGACGATGACGATGAGGAGGGAAGAGGATAACCGTACCATACGAGTTTATGATATGGCCATGCCAATGAACCAATGAACACGTAGACCGTAGAGTGAATATAGCTACATTCACCATACCAATGAGTCAATGAGTATCAGAATATGATGATTCATATGAGCACGGACAAATTCACCTGACAGTCCCTTGGTTTTCACAGCGGATAAATATGGTACAGCTGTACCTGGATGCGCACAAAGAAAACCACGGGAACAGTTGTTTTGGGGTTTTGCCGTTTTACCCATCTCCATGTCTTGAACTGGAGGAGCTGATTGCAACGCCGTTTTTGACCATTTCATGACAATTCGATACAATTCAAGCAATGGCTCTTGCACTGTTAGGACGTTGATGCTACCAATGCAATGATCACCCTTACCTATCATGGAAAAACTCTGGCTCAAACATCGAATCTCACTCGCCACCAGGCGATCTTGAATCAAGGGTTTTTCAATTCAACGAATCTTCCATTTTCGAATCTGGCTCAAAAGCCATCGCCCAAAAAAAAACCGAGGGGTGCCTCTGAAGCATCTCCATCTATCCAGGGAGATGCACCAAACTCGGGCAAGTTTGATGCTGCGCGTGGACATGAAATTTCTGTAGCTCCTAAAACCCACTTACTCAATCTTAATCAATCTTAATCTTAATCATCACTCGTAACCCTGCATGAAGATGCGATTGATTCAGGGGTGATTCCAAAAAAAGAGAATAAATATCTATTTAAATTGGTACCGCCTCAATGTGATCCAATGGTTCATTCACAATCGTCGTTTGCCGCTCCAAATTGGTTACCGCAAAATCGGTGATGGCTTTGGAGGGTCGGTTGGTAGCCCAATTTTCGAGCCAGGTCATACCTATATGGCCATAATGAGTAGGCGGAAGTGAGGCTTAAAGATGTTGGCCACCAAATATTTATGCAAATGGTTCAGTTTGCTCTATGCCTCGCCCAGTAAACCCGGTCACCAACGATAACCCATATAGGACGCGGTAAAGTGAGATTGGACCCCATGATGCTTTCTGTCATCACACTGGAGGAGAAGGGTTTGTGAATCGCTTCTCTGACCATTGAGAGCGTCGGGCAAGACATGACACTAGGCCTCACTAAGCGGTTGGTGGTTTCAAGCAGTCCGATATTTCCCCATCAACTAGAAGGGTATCCTGTAAATGTTCTGCAAAACCGATTTTGGTACTCAGCAGAATGCAAGATTGGTCAATAAATCACTGTTGAGTTGCTTCCAGCAATCAACCAAACTTCATCAAACTTCCCTTACTTTGCAGACTCATTTGACTCCACTGTCGGCTCACTAGTCTCTGTCACTGACCCATGCATCATAAGTCCAGCACCACTGGTTTCACAGAGGTCTGTCCGCAATTGGCAAACCCTGAATCCTACACCAGATCGAGCGTGGATAAAACTATGGATAGTAGTGATGCTGATGAATGACCAAACCATACCAAACCATACCAAACCCAGGACGATAAAGAGATGAAAAGAAACTTAAAAATTGCATCACTGTATAGTTCATCTTCAATTTCATAACCATCATGAGCATAATTTTCATAAGCTTCATAACTTCTAAGTTCACTGAAGCACTTCTGCTAGTATCACACCAGGTCACTGTAAGTTCTGGCACTGCTGGCAGTGCCAAGGCCTACTCCTCACTGCCAGCTGCGCCAGCGCCAGGACAACCGCTGGTTGCGCCCTGAAATTACTGGACGAATTGTGAAATCCTGTTCGGACAATGCTTCGTGGAATTTGGTGGACTCCATACGACTCCATCCCATTTCCAATTGAGTCACAACCAAAGGCGTGTAGTCCTGTTGCAGGGAGGATTCCAATCCTTTCGGAACTTACAGATTTCTGACTAAGTTCAGCTAACTTGGCTCAGAAACGTCCTGGAACTCAAGTGTAGTGGCCCGATAGGCCAACCCCGAAACAGTAGTCAGCCCCGAAAAATCCCCTGGTCTCATAAGTCTCATATTAATTCAAAAGAAAAGTGGGTAGAGAAGATGAGATATCAGTATAAAATAACCATAATCATGGGTATATCATTATTATTATCTACCTGGGAATCATTGGTTTCTGTGAAAACAAGGATCGGACTCCGCCAGGATTTCTGGCACAAATCCCGAAAAATCGGACGAGTTGGACCGAAAGTCATCGACTCCCACCGCAGGAGACACGGCGAGTGTCTTGATCCCAGGGTCACTGGGCCCCCAAAAAGTCGTTTCCTCATCCTCAACGAGGATCTAACTGATCTAACTGATCTAACTGATCTAACGATGAAAATGCTGACGATCTCAAGCTGGGTCCCCAAAGGATCGAGGGCGCCAATATTGGAGCCGTGGCAGCTCAGCAAGAGGAAAACGTAGGACACTTGTGGGTCCCTACGTGCTGCAATCCTTCTGGCTTCCCCAAGGTCATTGCACCAGACACCATGTAAAAAGATACATACTTGCTTGCTCATGACACTATTAAAAAAAAAAAAAACATTTGGAACTAGCACTTCCGTGATAGTTTGATGGCATCTCCCCAGAAAGGAAGCACAGATTGAAAGCTCATGCCTCATCTGCCAACCTCAGGTCTCAGCAGTCAAGGGCTGCTTAAAGAATAAATTATATATATATCATGATTATTATATATTCTGTCCATTCCCAGTGCAGAGAGTGCACAAATCAACCAGGCACCAGAAACAGAGGAGCTCTTAGACTTTCTGCCGAGGAGCAATAACTGTATTGGGTGGATTGCCAATGACTCCCTGGCCATGAGGATCATGAGGATGAAATGCACCCCCCCGACAAGACGCAAAGGCGACCAAAAAATGAGTGAAACACCATCGTTTTGAAGCCCTAAGGGATGGCTTCCAATAAGATGGTGGCATGCCTCGCTTTTCTACCAAAGCCTGGCCTTTCCGTTGACACGTCTTCGACAGGTATTGTTTGTCAATACCTGCGGCGGACCCCATTGTCAAGGATGTTATAGCTGTGGGTCCATGAACTTTTGAAATGGTTCAACATGTTTCAGCTAGTTTCAACCCACAAATCGACTCATTTCAAACGTTCTCCAGGCATTCTTCGGGGAACTCACTGTAGCTCATACATACCGGCTTACCCAAGTTGGAACAGTACTCAGGCATATTTTGGAGCATACAACCTCTGCGTGTAGCAAGACTTTGAGGACAACAACAAATACCATTGAGGAAAACAATGCTGACGAGATAGGGGAGAATCCCACTGGCAATCCTCAAGATACAGTACCAAGATGACAAACCAACACATGAACCAAGAATGTCAAAAATGGTTCCTGACTTCAAGAGAAAAATCGATTTGATTCTTCCCATATAGTCCATTGCAGCAACGGCTTTTTGAAGTTACAGAGCTTCCCGGACCGATGAATTAAGGAAAAGCTCGTGGACCTCTAGCCAAGGGTTCCATACTGATGTTTATGTTGCAAAGCTGTTTTGGTCAGGAAATGCTGCCTGGATTAAAATCAAGTGGCTTGCAAATGAATCATGAATAATTTACAGCCACAGTTCTAGTTATTTTTGGCACGGGCTGTATCTACTTAACTATGCTAACCAAAAATCCTCCTAAGTTACTAGAACCTTCTCTGCATACTTTTTTGGAATCTTATTTTCATTCACCTCCCACAACACCAGGCAGCTAGCATCCTGCCTCTCAGCGTTTCTCAGCGACGGACCTCAGGTCAAGTCAAGCTGCTCTCTGGGAAACGTTGTTTTTTTTGCTGGGAAAGTTACATTATAACCATGGTTGAAACCCCCTGGTAAACGTGAATTTTGACGGCTTCCTGCACTGGTTTTTATTCAATCTTGGGACTACATCTAGGAAAAAACATACATAAAAACCCATGATTTCTGGCGTGTTTATGACCAAAGGGGGCAAGGGATTGGGTGCCATCCAGCTCCACGTTTGCTGCACATCTTCCTAGCACAAACTGGGAGGCTGGGTACCTCAATCTCATCTTGGTAAACCTCAAAATAAACCTCTATTGAGGATGGTTTATGGCATTGGCTTTCCCTCATGAAAAGGAAAACCAATACCCTCTGGTCATTTAACATAACTATGGAAAATCACCATTTTTAATGGGAAAACTCACTATAAATGGCCATTTTCAATAGCTATGTGAAATTACCAGAGGGTAACTCTTGGCTATTGCGGTGTCCTACTGCGCTGCCTAAAAAGGCCCACAAAATGTGTCCCTGTGCAGTCGTGTTTTATGCCGTCAAAAACCGAGGAGACGGTCTAACGGACGTCACGCGTGATTTCATCACACCAAAAACATGGAAAGGACATCTACAAAACTAGCCATCCCAAACAAGATGACGTCAGAAAATGAGGTCAACAACATGTTTGGAGATTGCCACCAAGTATGGGCACCCAATAAAATCAGCTGTGGCGAGCCGCGTCTTATCCGCCACTGTGGTCTTGGAGCTTCCAACTCCCTGAGTGCTCTTTCTGGTGCCTCAGCAGCATGCATTGGCTGAAGATAGTTAGATAGATAGATGGATAGATGGATAGGTGGATAGATAGGGTAGATATGGTAGATATGGTAGATAGGGTAGATAGGGTAGATAGGGTAGATAGGGTAGATAGGGTAGATAGGGTAGATAGGGTAGATAGGTACAGTAGACATGTGTAAATTCCTTTGTAATTCTTTCAGTCTTTGGATATGCAGATAATGCAATGTGCGTTGTACTGTTTTACCACATTCTGGCAATTGTTCAGCAAGCCACAGGCTTTTGTTGGCTGTATCATCAGGTTTGTAAGTTCTCTCCCATTCTTCCAATGTTTTCCCTATCTAAAGGACATGGTCATTGGTCGAATGGCCACATTTTGAGACATACCTTGCTCGCATGTGGTTTGGTTCATAAAATGGGTGCAAAGAAAACAGGCATGGTCTGGAGTGCTGCCAACAGAAGATCGACAATGTTGTTCAGGAGATTTCAAAGACGATCTCTACCTCATAGTAAAAAATAGCCACCAAAATACTAGTGAGTATATCACTCCTCCAATGCACACACGCAAAGTCATGTTTACCCTCAAAGTTTTGAATTAAGGGATAGTGTGAGATAATTGTGATCCCCAAATGATTCTTCATCTATCATCATCATCATAATAATAATAATCATCATCCCAGCTATATCCCAACTATATCCCCACAATGGATAGTTATATAATTTCATTTAATTTCCCTATTATCATGGCAATCAATGTCAACTCATGATAATCATCATCTAACCCACAACTCAACATTCCCACTGTTCTTCACCGTTTGGGGATTCATGTCATTGGTAGTTTAGATTCACCATGATTTGTTCAACGTTAGACCCACTGCAAACAGGTAACGTTATCAACGTTATCAACGTTAGACCCCAAGACAAGCTGGAGAAACCTTTATTCTTGGGGGTTCACGACCTTAAGAATATAGAGTCTATACAGTCTATACCGTAGTTATATCGCTTATAGTTTAAATATAACCCTTATTACCCCCGTTTTCCTAGTTGAATCCCAACTGTGGTAAAACCACTATTTCTGATTAGTATACCCACCCTCCAAGTATCCCCAATAATTCTTCCACCCTTCAATTATAGATGGTTCACAAACTTTAGTGGTTGTTGGTGGTTCAAACCATTTTCGCAAACCATTCTTCTTTCCATATTCCTTCTCAAATCCCAAGGTTCATGGTAAAATACCATGATTTCAGATGATTATAACTGATTCTCCAAAAAAAAACATCAAACCTCTAGTTGCCGGTTCACTTTTCACCACTTTCATCCACCTCCCCACGTGCCGCGGAGGAAACCACGTGCCGCGACGTGCCGCGGTGCTGTGGTTGTCCTTGGAGGACCGCGGCGGCGCGCGTTGATGGGTCATCGCCAGCTTGTGGCCGCGCCGGTCCAGGCCGGGACAATCGATGGAGGTGCCAGACGACCCGTACGGGGAAAACGCCTCGGCGTCGGACCCTCTTGTGTGTTTTCGTCCAACGGGTAGAAAAATGTGGACCAAAAAAAATGGAGGCAGTAGGTCCAGTCACAGGCTACTTGGATGATTCGATTTAGGGCAGCGAGTAAATGGATGGTCACCTCCACAGCCGAGGTGTCACCAATGCAAGTGGAGGACATGTATCACAATCTTGGGATTGGGCCGGGTTTATACAGTTTATACCCATCAAAACTAGGAGGCTGACTATTCGGTATACCACATGATTCCAAGTAGTGGTTTTCCAACTAATCATTATCCATTATATTCCTAAAATATTCTCATTATACCACCAGTCTTGTTGTTCCAAGGCTCTTTGGGGCTCCAGAGCGGCTCCTTCTTCAAGTCCCTGGTGCTTCTGCCGTGGCCATGGCCCAAGTGCCGCTGACGCTCCGCAGTGGCTGCGGCCGCGTTGCGCTGCGGGGAGGGCAACGAAGGGGTCTGGCGCGGCGGAATTTTCACGGCCGGGATATGTGGCAATTTGAACTGCGGAATAGATGGCCATATATCAATCGTTCAACTATTTTTTTTAATGACAATATAATATTATATATATAATTATATATAATTGTAATTGAATGTATCTATAGATATATATATATATATACACATATAATTAGATATACATATATTATATTATATAATATATATATATCATATATATATATGTATAATTATATGTATTTATTATTAACACTCCAGATCTATCTGGATCTATCTAGAAAAAGTAAAACCAAGCGCCAAATATGTTGGATCGCGAATGGATCAGTTGATCAGTTGCAGCCTCTTCGCCTTTGTGGGCCGTTCCCTCTGCCCGAGAGAGCACATGATGGTATGGACCCCAACAGCTTCTATGGGTATAATTATAATGAATGGTTGATCTATCTGGATCTATCTAGAAAAAGTAAAACCAAGCGCCAAATATGTTGGATCGCGAATGGATCAGTTGATCAGTTGCAGCCTCTTCGCCTTTGTGGGCCGTTCCCTCTGCCCGAGAGAGCACATGATGGTCCTGAACAGTGGACCCCAACAGCTTCTATGGGGTTCAATGAATGGTTGAGCCAATAACAAACAGTGGGAATGGGACTTTTTTTGTGGGCGAAAATCATCCAAAATTCTGGGTGCCGCAAGGCATCTAGTTTGGTCTGAAAACCAATGGGGCATACACCAACCACAACAAGAAGAGCAAGAACCGGCGAAATTGACCATGCATAGGTTTGTCCCAGAATTCAGAACCATCTCAGCCTTGCTTTTAAGTAGGTGAAACGAATCTTCTGCGCATTTCCCATGTTTGCACACCCTGCTTTCCATCTGCAAAACTTTGTAGCATCTTGGGGATGATTCATCATACTTCAACCCAGGTGTGTCCCCCACCAATTCCACTCCTTGAGGCTTAGAGGTAAGTCTTTCTTTGGCTTCGGCCGTTCTCGTTTCGGATGGCTAGGACTGGAACCCAGCAAGCATGGACCCTGGGCCGTCAGGAATGTGTTCAACTGAAAAAATGTTGGCAAGGCTTCAAGACTCAAATATGTTTATGGATGTTTATGGGCCGCAAAATGATTCGCATATGAAGTGTGGGATGGCTTGCCCATGAGACTTCGCCAAACGAATCAACGATGGATCATTAGATAGGTAGTGGTCCAAAAAGGGGTACCAATTGGACATTTTTTGGTATTGAACCATCGACTCTACTTGGGTTGATAATCGTGATCCATCTATGTATATAATTTGGCCATTTCGGGGAAGTTACCCATACAACTTCGCATCATTTACCCAGAATATATGAACTATGAAACACACCCCTATCCCATCCCAAAAACACTGATTGCTTGATAGGTATCAAGCAAAAATTGAGACCAACAAGGGCCCGGCCCAGCCCGGCCCAGCCGCGCCTTCTTCGGTTCCTCCGCAATTTCCTGTAGCGACGCCGCAGCCGGCAGTGACGTCGCCGGCAAGGCCGGCGGCGCTGGAACCGCTGCCGCAGCCGTTGCTGCCATGGCCGTCGCGGCGCGCGCGGAGTTCAGGGGTTCCTGGCAGGGTGAAGTGTTCACACTGAAAAATGGAGCTTTGCCCTCTGGTAAACATACAAAAAACATCAAAAAACGATGGAAAAAAAAAAACACCATGTCTAATAGGTAAATCATCTATTTCTATGGGCATTTTCAATAGCTATTTTGACATAACCAGAGGGTAATCCACAGAATTGAAATCTTACCGGGTACCCTGTTTTATCCACAAGAACTGGGCGTTTGTGCCACGCCAACAAACATGTTGAAAATTCTTAAAACGTTGGTCCATTGGTTGGCTGAAAAAAAAAACCTTTGACACTACCAACCTGTGATGGCATTCTCCTTGATGCGGGGTTGAAATTCCCAAGTTGCAGATCGAAAAACACCCTTTTTAGCTTCATGATCTTACCAAAATTTGTGGGTGATCTTAATACTCTCAATTTGTGCATCAAATTTTGGGACAAAAATCATATGGATCGTTACTAGATGACCAGGCCATCTCCGGGTCGTCTTCACCGGGACCCAATTGGACCCAAGACCCCGCCTTCTCAGGCTCCGAGGGAAGCTTTGGAGGATCGATATCCTCGATCAGTAGCGGCTCCTCCTCCTGCGATAGGAATGGTAACCATTACCATCTGGTTATTGAACATAGCCATGGAAAGATCCACCATTTTTAAGAACGGTAAACCATCTATTTCTATGGGCCATTTCCCATGGCTATGTTAGTCATAACCAGAGGGTAACCATTGTGAGATAAAGAAAGCGCAAGTCAATCGGCACGTTGCAGGGAAATTGGAGAAAGCCACACAGCTACTTGCTACCTGTCATCCAAATAAGCGGTGTTGTTACTCTGATTCCCGAATTCCCCCATTTTCATGGCTTCAAAACTCAAGTTTTTGGGCGTCTCCCCATCAAACGGCCAAGAATCTTGGCAGCATCTAAACTTTCGAAACCAGAAGTTCTTCATCAGGTCTCCTGCCACCTTTTCCTATTTCTCCCCAGCCCCCAGGGCACCTCCTTCTCCTCCATCAGCGCCGGTGCACCCGCCTTCGTGGCGTCCGAGGGGTCGGCCACTTGACGGCGGACCTGGGGATGGCATGGTGAAACCACCAGGTGAAACCAAGGGCGAAAGCCATAAAGATCCTGATGCTATGGGAATATCACGATCTATCATAGGGGAATACGGTTTTCTGGTTCACTTAAACCACTCGGCATCCTCAAGAGCTACTGGCTTAGTTTGACACTGAGACTTTACTACTGTCAGGTAGAGGAAAGGAGTTAGATCTAAGTCTTGATTTTAGACCTATTTTGTTTGAGGGTTTGAGTGGTGTTATTATGGTTTAGTGGATATTTTTCAACAAAAAATTGGGAGTCAAGCAAACAATGACTGGGATTTGACCAAGACAAATTAGGATTCTATAGCGAACAAAACAACGGATTCCGCTGCAACAAAGCTTGAGATTTCTCCAAGAAATTTTGGGATATATTGACCCAAAGTGATCAATCATGACGAATGTTATGGCTAGTTTTCAGGGCTGGGATTTCAAGACTTTTCGGTTCGATGAACCTTCTGTCATCGGATTGCAGGCGTCCAAGTTCTTGGATTTCTGGATTACATGGTTACATCATATATTAATGTATACATGTGTATATATATATATACATATGTATATCTATATACATATGTATATCTATGTATATATATATCATATATATATATATACACACACAGTACAATCAAACCAACCATCAGCAGTGTTTTGGGCATCACTCAAATGAATCAATGGATTGAATTGATTTGGTAGTACAGTACCCCCCAAACAGCTGGAATGGTTTGCTGTAGGAATTTCTTTTCCGGCTATGCGATTCTGGTGGTGTACTTACCATGTTGAAATCGCATCTTCATGTCAAAACTCGGTCTCTGGGTTTATCTGATAACGGCTTTCATTTAGGACATAGTGAAAATGGTGATATGATGGTGATAAACCATCTTAAATGGGGAGTATCTGTTTTTGCTGGCTTCCCTCAAAAAAACGAATCTCTGGTTGTTTATTAACGTCTTTTTTTGGCGCACCTGGTAGCGCATCTCCACGTATTCGCGGCTCAGGAAGTTCAAACATCGCTCCACTTCCTCCAGAAATCTGGGGATTTCCCACCGTCACAAAATTGGGTGCCAAACTCGACGGCTCGCGACCAGTTCATCTGGAAGGAAACACACCACACCAGTTCCCCAGCAGCGAAACATGCTGCTAAGCTAACCAGGGATATCATCGTCGACATCCAGGTCGTGAAAACCAAACGGGACATGTACCTCTCGGCCTCTCGGCCAACCTTCAACCATTTGTCTGCTCCAAATTCTCATCTTTCAAACGAACTTGAAATCATCATGTTTTTTGCTCAACTATAGAAAACCCATCCATCCTGTTGCTTAAATCTCCTAAACCCACTTTCTTCCCATTTTTTCGTCGAAATCCTCCCACCATCCCCATCCCCTGGCCCCCCACTGGGCTGCCGCCGGCCTCGTTGTTCATCTGCGCCTCAGCAGTGCGCTGTTCCAGGGCGTAGATGCGACGCCGCTGCGTGCTGAAGAGCTTGGAGATGCTCTCGGAACTGCCACAGGCCACAGCCAACTTGGTGGCCCACAGCCCTGCCATGGAGCAAGGTATGGGCCGAAAAAAGGGATAAATTGGAAATTGAAGGAACAATGGGGATATATAACCGGTGAAAGAATGATGTATATAACCTGATGTTATAATGGTTGCGAAATGATGGTGAATGCTGATATCATTGGAGATATGTGACTGATGGATAAGGGATGGGATAGATAGCAACAGGAAGGACGTGGACTGGTGATAAATAACAAGAAAAAAAATATGAGCAACAAATTTCTGGAGATGTATAGAGCCAACTACAAAGATTTTACAATGGGATTTGATGGTGATATAATGGGATATAATGAGATATGGGATGTGTAGCTGATGGATGATGCAGCCCTGATGTTCGATGTTGTTGGGCCATGATTTTTGCATAGCAAAATTTGGTTCATTAAAAAGGTTGAGGTCTTTTTTTTATGGAGAAACATTTAGGGGATTCTTTGAGGGTTACCAAATGAGTGTTGTTTGGGTTGTTACCAGCGATGGACCAATCAGCCTATGTGTGTTACATGCATGCTGCAGCCCGGATGGTTGAACTGGGGAACTAAGCCGCAGCTGTTTCCCATAGAATAATCCGACCAGAAAAAGCTGGGGTGTAACACGGTGTAACAGTCTAGTAGCTGAGAGTTGTTGTGCTTGGTTTGTATGTGAATTCGATGGGTTTAACTTGTTTTTTTACGGTCAAATGGGAATTATTCATGGTTTAATATGGGATCCTTGGCAGCTGACAGGCCTGGAACTGGACGTTCAAACATGGTAATGTGTATATTATATAAACCAAATCATCATCAACCTCCTGTGGATGGTTATAACCCCAGCCATTTCTGTTTCTTCTTGGCGGCTTCTAGTCATCCAACACCAAACTGACCATCTCAGAGGTCGGAAATGGCACTTAAAATACGAAGTTGGGGATTTCTACATCTATGTATATATATATACACATAATAACATAGAAAATAACATCATATAATCATATGACATTTACACAATATTTCAAGTTTTTGAATAGTATGTCTACATATCCATTATGCTGTAATAACAACATCCATATTTATATGTATATATATACAATGTTATATATCGTATATGATATATTTGCTGTATATTAACATACATCATTATGTCAAATCACTGTATATATGTAAATGATATGATATAATATAATGTCATCTACAGTATAATATGTGCAAAAAGGGTTCGCAGTTGGGGGCTGTTTTGGGAAATCCTCCCGAAAGGTGTGGTGCCGAGGCCAGGAAGGCTTGGATACCCTTGGAACGCCTGCTACAACTAATATATATTATATATATTATATAATATATATTATATAATATATAATACATAATATAATTTATGATATATAATATATAATATATAATATATAATACATAATATAATTTATAATATATAATATATAATTTATAATATATAATATAATATATATAATATATAATATGTAATATATATAATATATAATATATATTATATAATATATAATACATAATATAATATATAATATATATAATATAATATAATATATAATATATAATATATAGTATATAATATGTAATACATAATATATATATATATAATATATATATAATACATAATATATATTATATTATATATAATATATAATAAATTTTTAATATAATATATAATATATAATATATAATATGTAAAATGTAATCTATAATATATAATATATATTATAATATTTATAATACATAATATAATATATAATATATAGTATATAATATATAATATAATATATAATAACATAATATAATATATAATATATATAATATATAATATATAATATGTAATATATAATATATAATATATAATATGTATTATAATATATAATACATAATATAATATATAACATATAATATATAATATATAATATATAATATGTAATATATAATATATAATATATATTATATAATATATATATAATACATAACATATAATATATAATATAACATATAATATATAATATATAATATATAATATATAATATATAATTTATAATATATAATATAAAATATATAATATAACATATAACATATAATATATGATATATAATATATAATATAATATATAATATAATTTAATATAATATAATATAATATATAATACATAATACAAAATACATAATATAATATAATTTAATATAATAAAATATAATATAATATAATATATTATAATATAATTTTTATATAATATAATATAATATAATATATAATACATAATACAAAATACATAATATAATATATAATATATAATATATAATATATAAAATAATATATAATATATTATATTTAATATATACTATATAATATATAATATATAATATATCATATATCATATATAATATATATAATATATATAATATATATAATATAATATATAATATATAATATATCATATATAATATATAATATATCATATATAAGATATCATATATAATATATAATATATAATATACAATATATCATATATAATATATAATATATAATATATAATATATAATATATAATATATAATATAATATAATATATCATATATAATATAACATATAATATAATATATTAATATTATATATAATATTATGTATAATATAAAATATAATATTATATATTACATAATATAATATAATATGATATTAGTTTAATATAATATATAATATAATATGATATGATATTAGTATAATATAATATTATATAACATAATATAATATGATATTAGTATTATATAATATAACATAATATAATATAATATAATATATATAACATATTATGATATAATATAATATGCATAATACCCTTTGCTAATTCTAATTGGCAAATGTGTAAGATATGTTAAAATGATATCCTTTCATGGTGGTTTTCCCCGCCCGATTTGATTACCAGGGTTGCGCCGCCTGCGACTCGTTCACTATCAAAGGCCATAGTGAATTGAATCACCGAGTTCCTGTCGCAGGGAATGGCAGGCTGAAAAAACCAGAGTTCCTGGGATGAACATCTAAATGGATGTGTTCAAAAATGGGGGTACCCCATAACTCCAATAACTATGGTTTATGGTAGTTATATCTATAGTCACTATGGTTTATAAACCAACTTGTAACTAGGGGGGTACCCCCAGTCATCATCCATTTATAGATTTTCCATGATATAAACCATCCAGCTATTGGGGTAACCCCCATGACTAGGGAAACCTCAAAAAAAAACATCCCGCCTCGACAGAGTCACTACCACACCTGTGCCTGAAGCGCCGCCACTAAAGTCAGTAGCTTAAGCCACAAAATTGTGCAGGTTTTAATGGTTGCGTACAGGTTTTAATAGTTTTTCATAGGTGTTTATGTTTTTCCTGCATATCTTTTCTGAAATGGGGACATGGACTACCCAACGAAACAGGTCTATAACCGCGTCGTTTTTTGTTTCTATATCTTCAGCTGATAGAGGCGCTCTGCGAGCAAAGGATGCGACCCTTTGTTAGAGAAATGTGGCAACCCAATGCCACAAACAATCAGCAAGTCATCAACATTCTTATGGGTGGTATGTTACCATCCCCAAATGGTAGTCGCTTATGGCATTGGGTTGCCCACGACAGCAAGAACCATTAGAATTTTTGTTGTTTTGGGATTTTTTTAAGACGGTTTTGACTTTGCAAGAGATAAAACGCAGTTCTTCATTCTGAGACGTCGTTGGTATGTCATGCTTATGACGTGATTGTACACCCGTCTATGTACTACCCTCCTAATTTTATTGTTTGCAAGGTACCTAAAATTTGCTAACTATGTGGGTGAAAAAGGATGGATTCACAGCAACAATGACCTCTGCCAGGAGCAAAAAAACAGGGACCCGGAAATCCATAGCTTTTCTCAAGGAACGTGGACATTTTGAGGAACGTTGGGGTCCATAGCTTTGAAAACCACCACATCATCACCAAAACAACAGACGGCCAGAATGTGGTAAACTCAATGCCATCTGAATTTAGGATGGCTGGAATACTACAAATTTCTCAAAAAATCGGGGATGAATGTGGATGGTTCAGCTTTTTCGGGCTTTCCCACGCCCCAACAGCTGGCGCCAAGGGACACTCCACATCAGCGCCGATGAGCTCGACGGACTCCTGAGGTCTCAAGAAATGGGCGCTTGGTATTCCCCCCCAAAAAAAATGGTCCAACCAAACATGCAAAATAGCCTCTGGTACCTAAATCCCAGTCTTGGTCAGATCCTTACCCTCTGGTAAACTAACATAGCTATTGAAAATGGCCATTGAAATAGTGGATTTACCCATTGAAAATGGTGGATCTTTCCATAGTTATGTGAAAGTTTACCAGAGGGTATCAATGGTTGCAACACCTCGGCTCCTCCTCCAACGGACCCTCCCAAGGCTTGGCTAGAAGGATATCATCCCTTAACCTGGTGGCCATCGTCATCACCCATGGCCATCGCCCGGGAAGGATCAAAAATGACCCATTCCCATCTATCGTACGTGTCTCACCAAATCTTTTAGCAGCTTGTGATTTCGAATATAATAGTTCACCAGCCTGAAATACTGTGATATCAGGCTTGTTTTATTCCCATCTGTGTGCTGCAGAATGAACTGCTTTTGTTGGAATGATTTTACAGGAAAACAAGAGTCATTTACTAATCAAATTGAGGGTTTGCCTGTCTTCCCCCTCAACCAATTCTGGGTCTCGTGGGTTACAAATATCAGGGCCACTGCCATGAATTAGGAGGAAATGAAGGGGAAAAAAACCAACAATGATGAGCAAAATGGCAATACACTGCTTGCTGGGCAGATCCATGACGCCAAAAAGCAAGCTTCGGGCATCCCTCATTGGAGCAACCCATGGATCATCTTACCTTGCAACACACTTATCATAGCTATCAAAGTTATATATATATACATATATATATACATATATATATATATATGTGCGTGTGCAATTTCAATACAGGGTAGCAGCAAAAAAACAAGCCCGGTTCCAACCACCCAATCATTTCCCTCGCCTCAAAGTACAAGAGATCCGCTGTTCTCCAAATTTCAAGCCATTGCAGGACGCATCTCCGGTCAAATCCGAGGAACGCGTACCGTCCTGCGAAGATTTTGCGAATTCATGGTTCCAAATGTTCCAAGACATCGAGAGGCACGGCGAGTTTTCAACGTAAGATGAGAGCTGGAACATTCAAATTCATTCAAACATGTTCAAAGTAATATAAATTCTATGAGTTCCAATGGATTATCATCATGTTCCCAACAGAAGTTCTCGAAATCAGACTCCCCTGGCATACCGTTGGAGCCGCTCCCCCTGCAGTCCCGACGTCGGGATCCAACCTGGCCAATGATTATGATGATTTGATGGGTACTAATGGTGGTTTACTGGATATTTTCTTGTGATTTAATGGGTATTCATGGTGGTTTGATGGATATGAATACTGGTTTAATGGATATTAATAGACTCTCAAAGCGTAATGGATATTAAGAGTGGTTTGATGGGGATTAATGGACAGTTGATTGCTGTTCATGGTGGTTGATGATTCTGAATTTTGTTGGAATCATGCAAATACCCCTGTCACAATAAACCCCCCAAGAACGGGACCCCAAAGTTGTGGATAGATCCACCACCAGACCAGGCGGTTGGGAAGGAATGTTCGAGTGATAGGGGGAAGGGATTAACAATCATCAGGTTTGCAAGCGGCCCCACAACAAAAAAAACAGCGGGGACAAAAAACACAGTCGGCATTCTCAACATGTTTTTAACCTTTACGGCAGGTTTCTTTACCAGAAAAACCCATGTCCAGGGATGTTAGTCTTCCTTCATTCGTGAATATTACACTTTCAGCATTCTTGACACCTCCATGATGTTTCACAAACATTGGTTGAGCCATCACCTTATAAATAAATAAAATAAATAAATTAAAAAGTAAATAGATAAATAGATTAATATATAGATAAATAAATAAATATAAATAGATAAATAGATAAATAAATAGATAGATAAATAAATAAATAAATATACGTATCTGTGTATGCATGCAGGGGACACCACTCTTCTGGTTGCTTGGTTCATCATGATTTCATCTACTGTGTTTCCTAAAACTCGAAAAGTGAAAAAATAAATTGAGCAATCCCAATAGTGTTGGCATTTATCCACCCGGTTTTCCAATAGCAGGCTGTGGTCATCCCGCCCTATTCTCATTGTGGGATGACCATCCCCTTTCATGTGAAAAGCACGTTCTGCAATGGTCAAAACATTGCATATGCGGAAAAATATCTGAATCCTTGTGAAAATGGACGATCATCCTCCCAAATAATAGGCCCATAGACTCAAGTTCTGAAATAAAATCATGGACTGATCCTGGATCGCAAATTCCCAAATTACACATAATTTGTAGAGTATATCAATCATGATCAATGCCCATCATTTTTCTCTAATATCCCCCAAGAACCTACGGCAATTCACCCGTAGGTTAAGCACCTCGGGCTGCGAATGCTTCTTCACCGTTCGATGGATGGACGCCAAGACGTTGGCAGCAAGGCCAAAGGCAGTGGCCAACCTGGGAGCGTCAGTTCCGCTCAATGTTGGTGGATCCGGTCACTGGGGATACTTCATAATCAATGATCGATGTTTATCTACATGCACAATTAGTATATATATATATGTGTGTTTATTATAAACATATTCTATATATATATATATGCTTATTATTAAAAAAAAAAATATTCTATATATATATATAGAAAAATGATTTTAAAAAAACAGAGACACTGTTTTGATAGTTGGTTCATGGGGTTGGATGTGGCATTTTTTGCTGGTATTGTGAAGATCCACTGCCAGGAATAATTACCGAATTACGTGTTCAAAAATTTAAACCATTGAACGGAATAGACAAAACCCAATTTCGCATCAAGCTGCAAACCAGCAAAACAAGGCTGCTCAGACAGCTGTTCCATCCTCCCTTGCTCTGCCATGTCCTCTTTGTCCTCCGTGCCTGATCGCAGTCAGGTTGTCAGGCTGTCAGGTTGCTGGAGCCGCCGCACAATGCATAAAACATCACTGTGACATCACCCAAGCAATAGGTGGATCATTTACACTATCTATTCAGATATCGGTGATATCAGCGATATCCAAAGACCATGACATTTTCCTACTGCTGTGGTTTCCATTGCCCTGATTACAATGGGAAACCGAAAATTTGCATTGTTCTGGCCAGAAAACGGCCTGGATGCACGATGAATCTGAACAAAATAGATCCCGCAATCAGACAACCAACAAATTTCACACCATTAACACCACATGTACTAAAACAATCTGGGTCAAGTATTGCGCATTTATAATTACTTTGGCGTTCCAATGTGAAGGAAAACCCCCACCTGGTACCACCTTCAGTCAGAAGAAGTTAGCATGGCCCAGCAGAGGGACGGACGTGGCCCGGCAAGCCGAAAGCTGCAAAGCCCAAAGGTCATGGTCACCCAACCATGTTTTTCGGATTGCCCACCAGCCAAAAAACATCAAAAAATCATGTTTAAGAGCACCCAAAAGAAATGGGACATTCACAAACCGACTAGCAAGCTAGCATTTCTGACGCCGGCACCGTTGAAGGTTCACCATTGTAACTGCTCTGTTCAGTGGCCAACACTATTTCTTTGGACCGAAGGTATCCAGCAAAACTAATGTTCGATATACCCTGCAACCCCATCCCATCAGACAATTTTTTCCAGTGACTTCCGGTCTGGCAACTTGGGCCAACAGAGCTGGGCAACATCCTCATGAGGACCTCTTTATTCATTAAATTTCATTAATGTATCTGCAGAAGTTGCTTGTTTTACTTGAGACAACTTAGAGACAACCAAGAGACAACCGAGAGACAACCGGGAGACAGCCGGGAGACTGCCGAGAGGACATTTCGGCAGGGTGCTGGAGCCTGTGGAGGAGCTTGGCACTGCACCTGTTGACAACTGATCTGTCGCCAAAGCTAGGAGGGTCCTGGACTCTTTGAAAGTGGATCTTCCTGCATGTTTTACTCATCTGGGAGAAAAGATGGGTGCAGAAATGCACGTATTGTCACTTTGATTGTCCACCCCTACGGTAGACCAAAGACATTTTTGTGAGCAAGCATGGACATAGGAGAAACTGCATCTAGTCATCCTGCTTTGAACAACTTGAGCACAAGCTCTACATAATGTTTCTCAACGCTGCTCCAATGTTCTGGTGCGCTGCATCAGGCATGACATCGGGAATGGTCATCCTGTCATGAATGGGATCTCGAAAGCTGATCTTCTGGGTATGTGAACCCCTGGGGGGATGACCCCAAATATGTGCATACCCTGGTTTTGCGCATAGCACTTGTGTTCAAGCAATAAAAGAACTCTGCTTTGCGTCAAATCGGCTGCCCTTTTTCAAACACCAGCATCCTCTTTGTGGATCACAGCTGTTTTTCTGAGAGATGTCTGTCATATTATTTCATTCCGTCTCCGCAGTTGCTTTCAGCCCACAACCCTTAAAAAGGCCAGTTGAAGCAGGTCATCCGTCCGAGACGAGAAGTCTAAAGATATACTGACTGACAGTGATGCAGTGATGCAGGTTGACAATTTTGCAGCCCCATATCGAAGATAAGGTCAGCAAAGGGGAATTGTCAAGTTGCCAACTTGGAAACCACATGGCGTCTCTGCAGGTCTGGGAAACTGCTTGCACTCGTGTGATTAGAAGCTCTGTTTGTATCCTTTGATACATTAGATAGGTACGGCATATCTGCAGTTTCCAACAATCTTGTGTAGTTCATTAATGAACAAGCTGTGATTCCAGCGTGCAGCTCACAAGCAAGCTACCTGTTGCATCAGCCGAGCTCCGTGAAAAGGTCTCATGGTGAAAACTTCGCATGGTGGAAACGTCCAAGTCCAGGATTGACCCAAGTGAATGCGACAGGTTCTCATTTGCTTTGGACATCTATGACAAACCGCGGTTTACCTTCCAAAGAGCCTGATTGCTTGGGATGCGAAATTCTGCATGGTTGATTTTACCAACTACGAGCTGTCTGCCCAACTTGATGCGGGGACGAAAGCTAGCTTGGCAGGGAGCTTGACATGACACAACGATGCTGAGGACATGCCGACGGTGTCCCCGGGGGATGGAGCCACAGCCAAACTGCCCGGGTGAACCAGCCAGCCCGGGCCGGGGAAGGGCCGGGGGGGTTTGTTAAGTATGAAGTTTCATGCGGTTGGAGATTCCAGCCCCCCCAATAACCTTGCTAAAGCAAGAGGGGCTTCAGCTAGCAGAAGCTAGCTTTCGTGATCAAACTCCTTGAACAATGGAATGAAACGGGTGCTGGGCATCATGGGAAGAGGGTCGCACGTGGAAACACGCAAGCTATTTCGGCCATGCTCTTGGCATAAACTGGGCTTCTAGATGCAGCACATTTTCTCAAGACCCTTGCGATGCAAAGTTGTTTTAATCTCTTCTCGTCGCTGCAGGAAACTGATCTTCTCCAGGCTGTCCCAGGAACACGATGGATCCGATTCACTGATACTTCAGGTATTCAGACTTGATTTGTTGCAAAGAGGTGTTGCAACTGGAGTTGGGCAAAGGTCTATTGATCTTTTGCTGTCCAAACTGTTTGCACCGCAATCCAAGAGACGAATGAGCGATGACACCAAATACCTGGATCTTCACTTAGCACTTTTTTCTGCTCATAGCAGTTTTCGCTTGGATTTACGTTTGTTCTGACTTTTTATGCTCACTTGAACTAGAAAACGCGCATTTGTTTCTTGATGGACGGGCATTTACGCTTTTTTCCCGGCTATTTATGCTTATTTCCCGGGAAAATACGCTTATAATTTCGGCTTCAAAATGGAGAAAAATGTGGAGAAAAACCGCTCAAAAAGCAGAAATCTCTCAAACGAGCATTTATTTGTGCTTTTTCGAGGATGCAGGTATGTGCATACCCTGGTTTTGCGCATAGCACTTGTGTTCAAGCAATAAAAGAACTCTGCTTTGCGTCAAATCGGCTGCCCTTTTTCAAACACCAGCATCCTCTTTGTGGATCACAGCTGTTTTTCTGAGAGATGTCTGTCATATTATTTCATTCCGTCTCCGCAGTTGCTTTCAGCCCACAACCCTTAAAAACTTGAGAGCAGGCGGAGGCGGACGAAAGGTAGTGTAGTCGGAGAGGAGTGGTGTCAAAATGCTGCGCCCCTAAGATGATACACCAAAAGCGTTTTTGCGCAGTCTAAGATGATTTTATCCAGAGCATGACTGCATGATACGGTGTTTTGTTCAGCGTGAAATGATGCACGAAAAGGGGTTTATTTAAAACCCCTTTTTAAGACCCCTTGCAGCAACTGTTATTGAGGCTGAAGCAAACCAATTGTGCTGGACTACAGGGACAGGACCGTGACCGCGTCACCCGTGGGAATTGAACCCATGAACAGGGGGAGGCCCCCCCCCCTTATAATTGATATCTAATACATAACGTCGAGAATTCTACGTTTTCCACGGGCTGGCCCCCCAATACCCCCTATGATTGTGCTGAAGCACGGAGAACTCAGGTAGCTGACGCTACCTTTCGTGACAAGGCATTTCTTCGAGACAAAATTAGTTTTCATCAATTTAGCAGCTAGTTTACCGGACACCTTAGATGTCCCGAAGATCATTCCCAATCGGATTCAAGCTTTGAACGTGTCCGTGGCTCCTAGGCCCTGGTTCCCTAGCAAATTGTAACATCTGCATGCAAGTTCACTTTCATAATTTTTCATTCCGTGTGAAAAAAACTCCAACTGACAAGGGGTCAAGCTTTGACATCTTGTCTGAGCTGCACTGCAAGAGACCTTGCATCATCCCCCTCTGAATTGTGGAAGAGTTGCAGGGCCTCCTGAACCTCAACATGCCCGAGTCTCCACATGATAGCAAAGATTCTGCCCAGTTTGGGTCACTTGATCACCACAACTACTCTTTGTGGCAGAAATCGCTACAATGAGCAAGGCATGCCACCATCATCTAGCTAACTTCCAGCCGTCCAACAACCAAGTGCCCAACCACGTGTTTACGCACCCGTCTTTTTTCAAGAAGGGTTCCTGCATTAGAAGGGCACGACATGGAAGTTTGTCTTTGCAGCTGTTTCCAAACCAGAAGGTGCAAAGCTGTACAGCTTGAGTTCATGCATGAAGACAAGCCGAAGAGGAAACTAGCCCAGCCATTCCAGCCATGCCCCAAAATTCAGCTCCATTGTCTTCCAAGATCTGGAAAGTCAACAGGGCGACGTCTAGCCCTTTTAAGTCGAGGGATGGGAACGGGAAACACCAAACTGGGAAGGAAAGGACAGCAGAGAAGGGAAAGGACCAAAACAGGAAGGGAAAATACCAAACCCATCAATGAGTTTCCCTTTCACAAATGAAACTGCGCAAAACCTCTGGCCTTTTTCCTACCATGCGTGCATCCTATTTCAATCTCGCTGCAGCCTGCAAAAGTTTGCAGTCGTGGCAAGTTGAGGTATATTGCCCCCGGCAAAGCTGACAAAAATATTTGGGGCTGCGTCAAAATTCGGGTATGGATCGGCCCGCGGTGATCCAGACGTATGGATCGGTCTGGATCACCTGCGTTTTGGTATGGATCGGGGGTATGGATCGGGGGTATGGATCGGCCTGTGGGTTCAGGGTATGGATCAGGGCTTTACATTTTGAATAGCAGCCATTTACAAACCCTCTCAAGGGTCATAGTGTGAGTGCAATGCAGGTTGGGGTGCAGACCAGAACCAGAAACAACAACACGAACCCCACCAGTGCACCGGAGCGCCATGGACACTTTCAGCTTCTCAAGCTTCATATAATATTTCAATTCGCACCCGCACAAAATACATTTGAGGTTTTTGCCGGTTTCCCGCCATTCATGGCCAGCCGTGCGATCAGTTTTGGCTTCAGTAAACAACATACTACGAGTATTCTCATCGACTCCAACCGCAGTCACACTATTTCTTCGA